CATGCTCAAACAAGGCAACGCTTAGGTACGGAGTAGGTAAGCGAAGAACTAGGGCGTAGACGATCCCGTCCCTCTAATTTTACTTTTCGTTGTCGATTGCGCCAAAAAAAGCCAACACCAACCGAATGCGTTCAAACGCCCGCCCAAGGAGGGCCCGCTCAGCCAACCAACGGTTGAATTTTCAGGAGAAGAAATATTCACTGTCTCGGATGCGAGTGATGTCCCACTCTCCTTTCTGAGGTACCTCGCGGAAGCGCAATGGTAGCCAGAGCCAAGTGTGGATAGCACCGCGCCTTTTCTTCTTCGGCTCGTCAATCTCATCTAGATCGGCTTCAGCGGCGGCATCTTCCAAGTTCGCCTTGGGGCCAAGAACATCGTCAAAATCGGTCATCAGACTCTCAATTACTGGGTCCGATGTATCCGTTTCCATGCCCGAAGTTTTCCGCTCTGCTGCTTCCAGATTCTCAGGGACATGTCCGACAACGGTCTCACCGAGCGAGCTCGAAATAGAAAGATCCTTATCGGCACCACCAGCCTGTTCAAAGATACTGGCGGGGGTGACCATTGCGCGTCCCTGGGCTTGCAATTCTGGATCGTCCGATTGCAAAAGCTTTTGTCTCTTGTACTCCTCTAGGAGTTCCTGCACTTTAGCCGATTTGTTGTTTGCATGTCTGCGGTGAGCTCGGATAGCCTTTCCAATCTTACTCGAGATATTGACTTTCGCGAGGAACAGATTTTTGCCGTAACGGACTTCAAACTCCGCCGCGAGTCTCTTCACAACGTCGTCTGAGTGCATGCGAACGAAAGCCTCACGGAGAATATTGTTCATAGAATCGACATCGCAGGCATGGGTCCAGAAGGAGTCATGGACCGCCGAAAAGCTAAGACCAGCCCGGTCGCAGGCAATAGCTGATAGCATCATGTGGGTAGCGTCGAGAGAGTGAATAAAATTAGGCGGGAAAGCCTGGAGTTGCTTGCGCTTAGAAACAACATCGTCAGAGCCCATGTCTACAATGCTCAAATCCTGTATAGTAGTACGAACGCGTCGAGACTTTCGAACACGGTAAGGCTGGACAACAGGTAAACCTAAAGGAGTGGTCCAGATCACAGTGGATCTGAACTTCTGAGCTGGGTCGCCGGCTTTCTTTGTCGACCCTTCGGCCGATTGTGTAGGGCTCAAAGCTTCTTTTGCAATTTCCTCGATCTGTTCAGGAGCGAGAGATTGCGTGATTCGACTTGCGCAGTCTCCAAGCCAGTATTGGATTTCATGAGCTCCATTGAACATTGTGCCTAGAGCCTCGAAAATCTTCCGAGCAATGTACAACGAACCACTCTTCGTTTCATCGGCCGAAAGCTCCGGGTAATGGTCAACAAGCTGTTTGCGCACTTGCTTCATAGCTCCCATAAAGGTGACACCATAGACGTTCGTCATGACAGTCTGCTTGACAATCTTACGGGTGATCTTCCCGTCCAGCAACTTCGCAATTGGGGTGCCCTCTTTGGCTTCACGTGCGACAGCCTCCTTAACAAATTGGGCGACACCAGAATATACATCGGACGGGCGGTCAGACGGCTCCAAGTTCACTTGCTGAGCGCCCACCTTATCACCACCAAGTGCTGCGTAGTGTTGCAATCCATTGCACGAGCCGTCTTGATGGATGGGTAGTCGCGAGGGATATTGAGTAGGATCCGGGTGCTGGAGAGCGTTTCTCAGCTCACAGCAGGCGGCCAAGCATTGCCATGGATCCTCTGCGTCAAGCCACCACCGTCTGCCGTGTAAACCTTTGTTTGCAGAATCAAGAACATCGTCCAAGTGATCCATTGTCCATTGTTCACGTTCTGAGAGGCTAGCCTTGTCAAAGCCAGACAAGTTAGCAATCTGAATCTTCAGCCATGTTAGGCCACGAGCGCCCAGCGGCTTAGCTTCGCTGAAAAGGAGGAGTCCTCTAGCATTGTCCGCACCCATTTGGTTAAGATAGGGTGGAAGCGGGTAAGCACGACCACGGAAATCCATGTTATGAGGAAGATAGAAAGTATCATTTCTGTACGCACGGGCAACTTCCAGTTGGAAATTTTGAAAGCATCGGTTAGAATGCATGCCGGATCGTCGATTTTCGATCTCACGCATAGCGTTATCCCACTTCTTCTCGGCCGCGAAACCTTCTTCGGGAGCTGGCTTAGGTGGGTGAGGAAGGTCAGGGTTTAAGGGCGCAAGGCTGGCAACGGCTTCTCCTGAGTTCCATGCCTCAAGCATGACCTCGAATACATCTCGATTGATCCTCCACCCAGTTCTTCCAAGTATATTCAAACCCTCGCGGACCTGTTCCAAACCATTGTTCTCCATCGCTGCTTTGATGTAAGACGGTTGTAGAGTCTCGCCCGGTGTTGCGCGTACAATGTTGCTCTGATAGATGAAATAACCACCATCTTTAGGACCGTTCCACGGCCTTGGTTTACAAATCATGGGCAACTGACGACCTAGCACATCCGCGGTAGGCTCCCGAGCAACGATCTGAACAATCTCTGGGTGTAAATGAACGTATCCCGACTTCCTCCCCCAGTTGATTTGGTAGGAGTGCTGAAATGCGGGTTGCAATGTGGTTGTTTTCTTCTTTGTACCTGGATGCTCCGCTGCAACAGGAACCTTTCCTACATCGAAAAGGAAACTCATCAAGACAGCGCCGATTTTAGCTTTCACCCTAGGGGGCCAGATAGCTGCCGGGTCCTCCTTTTCCAAGTCGTGTACAATCTTCTGCCAGGGTGCTCGCCCATCCTTCTGTTTGCGACCAGCAAGAATTTCCCTTAGTGCCTTCATGCGACGGGCATCATTTCCCGACTGCTGCTTTTTAAGGGTAATCTCAGCTATCAGTTCATCTTGAAGGTCTTTCCCAATACCAGTGGCAATTGCAGAGACCTTGATGCCCCTTTCCATTCCTCCACGAGAGAAGGTTGATATAACGGCGAGAATAGTTAGCGCTGCCAACCTTTCCGGGTCCAGACTCCGCAGATATACTCCGTAGTCATAACGCTCTTTCTGCTCGAAAGTCCTAATTGGATTGGCCTCCGCTTCATCAACAAGCTTGAGTTCTTCTTGGATCCTGGATACAAGTCCCATATGCCACTGATTCATAATGGTACCTAGCTTTTTTCCACCGCCAGTCATATCTAGCCCTGACTTTTGCATCTGAGTAAACTCTTGCCGCCATCGTTCAAGCGAAGTCCTTATCGAATCCGTCTCTAACTGTCGCTGTCTGAGTTGATTGTATAACTCCAACTTTTCCTCTTCCGTATACTTGGTGTCGGTTGGAAAAGCGACATCAGAGCCAGTGGAGAACATTGAGAGAGAATCCTGCAAAGACGAGAGACCGAGGCCTTTCTGATCAACAGGCCGAACAGCCGGTATCTCATCTGTGATCGACTCGGAATTTGTATTGGTAGTATCTGAGTGCATGCTGCCGATCGCAACACGTCGAAGGTCAGACGAACAGATCTAGTGAAAGGATGTGTGTCAGCACCAATTTCTTCTTTCCCGCATACCTCATAATGTTGAAATGAAGGCAAGAATGGAATAGACAAACCTCTGACAGTTCGCCTAGCTCTAATTCCGAAAGAACTGGAACAGCCAAAACCTCCTCTTCAACTCCCGCGGTCTTTGCGAAACTCCAATACCTGCGAACTGCTCTGTCTCGCTTAGCACCATGTAACATGCGTAGTGCCATCCGAATCATGATCGCATATGTTCGTGCATCTGGCTGAACACCCCCGTGAGCCATGTCAACTTCGAACCATCTTTGCAAGGGCAAGACCAAGTTGTGCTGCCTTGTTACAACCATGTGTGACACCATCTCCTCCAGATAACGGTTATGGATGGCCAGATACTCAGGCGAACCGATGGGAAAGTACTCCCCAAGACGGGTTATCAGATTGGCAGCCCGATCCATTCGACCAACTTTCAGGGAGATATCCAGGTTTGCCATCATCTCATCTTCGTCACCACCAATACCCTTGTGCTTTTTGAGAGCTCTTGGTCTGGTCTGTAGAAGGTCGTCTATGATGATTAAGGATGAAGCGTTGAACCCCTTAGAAATGGGTGGGAAAAGGGAAGCCATTTGTGCCGGTTGGTCATACCGGTGACCGGCTGTGTATGAGGAGTTCTCGAATGAAGGATACGGTGTCTGTTCAACAGCGGAGTGATCTGCTGCCGTGGCGAGATGCCGATATGATTGGAGATATGGCTGACGGGAACGATCGGGAGAAACTTTGACAGACGCGTTGACATAAGAATTCGGGCGACCTAGATGGGAGTGAAACCGCAAGGTGGCCAAAGATGGCGACACCAAACGCCCATTAGAAACCCGGAGATGAGACGCTGCATTTTTCTGACGAGCAATTCGGGATAACATGATTCAAGAATTTTCGCTGAAGCAACCGGATAAATTAAGAATACGATGTAGAGGTACGTAAAGAGGAGAAGAAAATTATGAAGGAAGGCAAAAATTATGCAAGAACAAAATCATTAGTATGCGAATATGCGCAAAGAAAATTCAATAAATTGACAATGAACTTCCTGTCAGCGGAAGATATCGGCTGACAAGCCGTCCTGCAGCCCTTCACCGGTTTATAAGAGATGGGCAAAGAAAGAATGGGGGTGAAGGTCTGATGAAGGCGAAAAAAGTCGAAATGCTGTAGTAGTTCCTGGACGGAGAAATCGGGGGAAAAATACTCGGATCCTCAAAGGGGAGATAAGGCACGTGTGTGCACGTGATTTGATTATCGTGTTTTTCTTCGGCTTCTCATTTGCAGGATCGCGTCCACATTCACGGGTATACTAGTACCTCTCGAGACCTGTCAACTTGGGCGGTGGCGATCGTCCACACCTTTCACAAACTTGTATTAACTATGTACTCATTCCTGACTGTCATAAGTTCAGAGTTCTGTGCCGGCTTTTTATAGAGTTCAGGTCCCTGACCAACCAATGCAATATTGTTAATATTATCTATAGCATCTTTCGCATACTACAATCAATTAGCCATACCTAGAACGCTCCTTGCACTTTTGGGAATATTCTCATGATGCCATTCGTAAAGTCTATTTTTTTTTTACACATAAAGTAATTTAATCATTCCTCTTCAGTAGTACTCCTAGAAGAGCTCCCTCTTCCATTCTGTTTCATCCGATTCTGCTTCATAGCCCATCCAGTCATCTCTGGGTTTGCTGGGTCAATACGCGGCGCACTCATTTTATCCAGATAGTCCTCACTATCGATCGCCGATTCTAATTGCGGTAGATTTTCCAAATCTTGGTGCATCATGTAGCTTTCATATACTTGCCATGACTCCTCAGTCTTAGAGTATCTCGAATTAGCGGAGCCTCTTATAAGAAACGAAAACATCACGTAACAAATACTCACCTCGGCATCGACCCAATCATAGCTACCCCATTTCTCCTCCTGCATCTTCTTCAAAAGATCCAGGTTACCAGCCAACTGACTCGCCTGGTCATCTTCAGCCGCTTTAACCTTGATATCAATAGCGCGAGCCTCATTTCCACCACCCTCATCATCATCCTTCTTCTTTCCCTTACCCTTGGTGGGAATCTCATCTAACGCATCAAGATGATGAAGCTGAGGATGCACCTGCACAACCGCCGAAACAGGCGACAGATGAAGATTATCTATGATCACTATTAGCATCTGCACGCAACACCAGCAAAGAAACCCAGCGCAGCAACTCACTCCCCCGGAAAGCAGCCAACATATAAACCGGGTCCCCCTCCTCAGGAATCTTAATGCGACCTCCCAGCGTCTGCACCCGTAATAAGGAAGCCGAGTCTCCATTTCCCATGCCGCCCATTTCCACATCCCCGCCGGCTTCCATTTTCACCTTATTCCCGCTAGCAAGGGAACCGCCACTGAAACCACCCGCCATGCCGAACGCGCCGCCCTCTTGCGAGCTGCGACTTTTCTTCAGCGCATCGCCGTACTTCAGGCCTTTATTCACGTCATAGTTCATGCGGGTGTTGATGGGGACGTCGACTTCGACAAGCCCTGTTTTCGGTTTTAAACGGAAGGCAGTGGGCCTTTGGCCATGGCGGTCATCATAGGGGTAGTCTGGTAGTCGGTCGAGATATTGGAGGACGTACCGAGAGATTTCGGAGTCTGTCAGGTAGACGTCGTAGGATGCGATGACGGGGTCTGAGGAGTCCATGGTGTGGATATGGGGCTATGGGCAATGGATGGGTTGGTCGGCTAAGATCGTAGCATTAGTTCAATAGCATTCGTTAAATTGGACAGGAGAACAGTATATCGTGGATAATTGATTGCTCTTCTCTTCCTCAATTTTTTCTCCATATCAGGGCGGTGGAGAAGTGGCTGATAAGAATGGGAAAAGTGGAGTACACCGCCTTCTATTATAGTGACATATAGAACGACACCTGACATTTAGATGTTCATGATGTCTTTCTCGGGTCGGGTCGCTTTTCTTCTTTCTTAAAAGGATGCTTCAGTGTAGTAATACAGGAGGTCTTTAAAGCTACAGACCAATTGGATTTAAAGACGATTAGAACGTAACATATAACGTATAGTGGCTGTTACCGACACAATAAACTCCCACCGCAGTACATGAAGATTAATGGAACTAGACTGGTCCAATGCTTTTAGATGTCAGGCTTATACAGGCATACACAGAAGCAAGGAATGATAGCAGCAAATCAAATCACTACCCAAATGAAACATGGCTCACATGGAAATGGTGGAATCTAAAACAATGCAACTGCCGTAGTTAAAATACCGACAATCAAAGCAAAGCTTAACAAAATGCAAAGTGATTTACCCTCTTTTCATCTCAGATTTTAATCCCTTACTCTTCTTCTTCGTCTTCAACAACCTGTTAAATTCCATTAGGTGGAAAGCCTGAATGTGTGTGATAGCGAGGATTAACTTACTCCTTCATGGAAGTTGCGTCCATCAGTAGTTTCCTTGATAACGCCTGCACGAATACACCAGTCTCCGAACCTCTCAGGCTCTTCGCCATCTGTATTGCGTTCAAGTGCGTACCGCTTGAGGAGACCCTTCATGATGTCCAAAATCTCATCCTCCTTGATAGAAGAGCGATATAACTTGTTCAGACGTTGTCCGTGATAACCACCGCCGAGGTACATATTGTAGGCACCGTATGCTTTACCAACGAAGGCAGCTTCGGCGAGCCAGGGCCTGGCGCAACCGTTGGGGCAACCTGTCATACGCATGACAATGCTGTCTCTAGCCAGGCCCACCTCTTCGAGAGTAGATTCGAGCTTAGAAATAAGAACTGGCAGGTAACGCTCAGACTCGGCCATGGCCAGGCCACAAGTGGGGAAGGCAACACAAGCAGACGAAGAAAGACGCATACCACTGAAAGAGGTGTTGTCGAGCTTGTACTTGGCCATCAATTCCTTGATTGCAGGGAGGTCCTCATCCTTGACGCTGGATAGAATCAAATGCTGATTACCAGTGAGACGGAACTCGCCCTTGTCAAGCTTCGCCAGTTCACGCAAACCGGTGCGCATCTGGAAGTCGGCAGTATCCTCAATTCGCCCGTTCTCAATGAAGAAAGTGAAGTGGTTGAGGCCCTTCTCATCCTTGAGCCAGCCAAAAGTATCAACATTAGAAGCAAACTTGAACGGACGAGGTTCGGCGAACCGTAAGCCGTCTGGAAGGAGAGCCTCCACCTTCTCCTTGAAGACCTCAACGCCCATGTCGTCGATAGTGTACTTTAGACGTGCATGCTTGCGGTTCTGACGGTCACCGTGATCACGTTGGACCAACATAATCTTTTCACAAACAATGTGGGCCTGATCAGCGGGTACATATCCAAACATGCGGCCAGTCTGAGGATATGTCTTCTTGTTGTTGTGAGTGCTACCCATGCCACCACCAGCGAGAATGTTGAAACCTTCCAAATGTCCGTCGGATCCCTTAATGGCGATCAAACCAATATCGTGTGCATACACATCGGTATCGTTGTGAGGAGGAATAGCAATGGTGATCTTGAACTTACGGGGAAGGTAGGTAGGGCCATAGAGGGGTTCGTTATCGACAACGGCATCTCCTGCAACTTGAACCTTCTTATCATCATCATCCTTCAGCCAAATCTCATGATAGGCTGTAGTAGAAGGGAGAAGATGGTCGCTAATCTTCTGCGCGACAGCATGCGCCTCGCGATGGTAGAAAGAGAGCTCTGGGAGGGAGCTGCACATGACGTTACGGTTGACATCACCGCAGGCTGCAATAGTAGTCATAAGTGCTTTATTGATAGCACGCATCGCACCTCGGAGGTTACGCTTGATGACGCCGTGGAATTGGAAGGTCTGTCTGGTCGTGAGCTTCATGGTCTCGTTACCATGAGAGCTGCTGATAGCATCCATTTGCAGCCACTGAGTGGGGGTAGCAACTCCACCAGCAAGCCGGCAACGGATCATGAAGCTGTAGGCAGGCTCAAGGCCTTGAGCTTTGCGTTCATCGCGCACATCACGGTCATCTTGCATATACGTGCCGTGGAACTTGGTCAACTGCTGGTCGCTTGCAGAGATAGCACCGGTACTCTCATCTAGAAGACCCTCGGCAATGGTACCACGAAGGTAGTTAGATTGTATCTTGATGTCCTCGTTTGTCAAAGGTGCAGGCTCTTCAGGAAGACCCTCGACTTTGTCCACTCCCAAAGATTGCCAGAGACGTGGCTCCCACTCAGAGTAACCAGTCTGGTAAGCGTCTGGATCTTGATCATCACCAAGTCCTATATCTGTGAGCTTACGTCCGCCCAAGAAGGCAACCCGGGCATCAAGGTCCTTGGCAGGCTTGTTATAATAAATCTTATCTTCCTTGCGTGGCCAGTAATGGCTATCACCAAGGCCAAAAACAGAGTAATTGATAGTAGACAAGTCAAGATCTCCAGAGCTTTTTACGAATTCCCACAGACCACGGCCATTGACGGGGAACTCACCCTGGCCCGCGGTGCTGGTTATAAACACCACGTTTTCCTCAGTAGATAGATCCTCAGCGGGGTAATCATCCATGGCCATGACCATAGTCTTCAGTCCCCTTGCGCGACCGCGGTTTCCAAGGCGCTTTGCCAGGTTTTGGGCATTGCCATTGTCCGACGCGAATAGAATAGTCAAGGGTGCGCCGAAAAGGCCTTCGAGAAGCTTCTCATAAGAATCCTTGGCCTTGCGTTTCTGGAGGGCCCGAACCTCAGTGCCGTAAGATTCAGAGAGGGCAGAAGAAAACTTGGGATAACGGTTCATAAGCTGGCTGAGTTGGTTGTCCCTACGAAGGAACTCTTCAAGTTCACGCTTGAGACGTTCCGAATCCAGAGAGAACTTGGGCTCGTGGTTCTCTTCATTTCCAGGGTTCCAACGGTACAAAGGCCAGTATCCAAGGTCGATGGCCTTCTTGGTCTCCTGGAGAACAGTCAAGGCGGAGTCGTCCTCCTGGTTGTAAGGCAGGTATGCAACAACCACGGATGGGCCCTTGAACTGTTCGGCCTCAGCCATAGCTTGGAGAACCTGAGTGTAGGAGCCGTACACGGCAACGGAGGCAACGTAGGCATTACCGTAGTTCATGGCATAAAGACCAATATCCTTCTTTCTGCGTGTCGGATCAGCAGCGGTGCGTTCAGAGTACGGCTGGGAATCGATAACGAGCATGTTAACATTGGCACCGGAGGCAAGGACATGGTGGACACCTGAGTTGCCAAGATCATAGGCCCAGGCATCGGAGCCAACGAGCCATCGAGACTCATCATAGAAAAGCTTCTTGGACTCTAGGAGCCGCTTGGCCAACTGAGAATCATCCTTTGAAAGGTGATCAATAACATCTGGAGCCAGTCTGTTGGCCTTGGATGCATCTCCGGCATTAAGAGCCCAGTTTGAGAGGGATGTCTTCGGCGCATCAGTGGCAAAGCTACCAGCCTTCGATGCTTCTTCAACCTCCCGCACAAACCGCCGGCGGTGTTCCATCCTGGCAATCAAGGAACCAAATCCATATTCAGGAGTGGCGGCAATGGTTGAGGAGACACCGGCATGCTTCGAATCCAACTGGTTGGCGATGTGCAAACGCTCCCCGAAAAGCTGGTTTAAGATCTTCAGATAGGCATTTTCGACATGGGGCTGCTCCAAGGCAGTCTCAAGTGTTGGAACTTTGGAGCTACCGACTTCAAGGTTCTGGATAGGAGAGGGGATGTCCAAGTTCTGGACAATGCCGCGGAGTGCCTGAATGGCAGTGGATGGCTCAACGTACCCGAGTCTGTAACCGACAATTTGTGGAGCACGTCCACCAGCAGTGGTAGGGGTCAAGCTTGACAACAGATCCATGAACGAAGGACCCCATTTTGTAGTCTTGCGAACTTGTTCCAGAACGGCGATCTTTTCAACCGAGGCTGGAATAGAGTTCACAATCTGACTGCCCACCCAGGGTCGGTACAACCGCGCAGTGATAAGTCCAATGTTCTTCAGCTCGCTGGCAGTGTCTTCCTTGGACAGAGCATCTACAAACACTCCGGTGGAGCCAAAGATAAAGAGAGCGGACTTGGCATCCGAAGGACCAGTGTACTCGACCGCCCTGTAGTTACGACCCACCAATCCCGACAAAGTGCGCCAGATCTGAGAAGTCCATTCAAAGATGTCTGCGGCACTAACTGGCCTAATAGAAGAAGCATCCACAGTTGTTGCAGCGGAACTAGTAGCGCGGCTATCAACGCTGCTATCTCTTCTTGAGGAGCCAACGGACGAGTTGTCAACACTGACACTCGAAGGTGTCTGAGATGGCTGTGCAGGGGTAGCAGCACCCGAGGGGGTCTTAGCGTTCTCCACAACTTCATCGGCTACGGTGGCCACACGTCCAGAATCAGTGTACAATGTTTGGGCACCGAGCCCGGTGGAGTGAGTAGCATGATGTCCTCCCAAGTTCAGAACACTCTGGACCACATTCACATCCTCCTCTGCGATGGGCTCGTCGCGAGCAGAATTGGTAGGGTCAAAGAAGTGAATGACACCCTTTCCAGACTTGCGTGCCAAAGCATGAGCAGTGATAGAGATATCTTGTGCCTCTTGAACGGTCTCAGAGTGCAGGAATGTGAAGCCACATTGCCGTATTGAGCTGATCACCGAGTAATCTGGGAATGGAGAAGGCTCCAAGGCGACGTGAATGACAATGGGGAAGTTCGCCAAGCGGTAGAGGTGAGGGATAGAAGAGAGGAGGACAGAGGAGCTAGAGACAACAGAAACTGCATCTCCAGTCTGCAAAGGGTGGAAAGCAGAGAGGAGAGGATCCTCATTGTATCGTACTGAGATCACCTGATGAAGCTGTTAACCCACAATCCAAGTTTAAACAAGCTGTAATCCGGTATCACTCACGTCAGGTACGCCCTTAGGCAGGACACTGCGCGCCCTTTCTTGCTTGAGAGCCTTTAGTGACTTGCTAAACCAAGAATCTGTTTGCAGGGATGGCTGGACGGAGACCACAACGTCGCTAGTGAGATAGGCGACTCTCGCCACTGAGGAGTAAATTAGTATTCCATCACCAGCTCGTAGACAGACAATGACAGCAAAATATAGTCGTATCTGCGATCAACGGACTGGGGATTTGAGAAAGAATGAAGAAAATGACTCACCTGCCTCTCCGGCAGTCGAAACGGGCGCCATATTGGCACTTGCCAGTTGCGCTGTGTAGAGCGCAAAGGTGGGATGATACTAATAGTATACAGAGTAGATATCACCGCATACGGTGACTCCACACTCAATTTGAGCTCAATCGATGAGGGGGAAGGAGTGAGAAAGGAAGAAAAAGCGACAGTCTTAAAGACATTTAAAAAATTAGCTTGACTCTTTCCCGTTTATCATTAAGATTCCCTTCAAAATTAAAGCAGCGATTTTGTTCCCCATAGACTTTCTCCGCCATCGGGGTTGGATCAGCAACATTCTCATTGGACTGCGATCACGACATCGATGCAAACGTGCGCAGGCGGTGGGTGCAAACATCCTTAATCGGGTCAAGTGCGGGCAGCAGGTCGAGCACGTCAGTTCTTCAGCGGGCTTTGCTTCGGCAGAATGCTGATAGGTTGGTTACTTCTACTCTCTATGATTGATCTTGATGGAGATCTCGTGTTGCAGCCGAACGTGGAAGACATCCGCTCATCGGCCACAAAAATAAATTCATAATTAATGTAGTTAGCATAATTGAAGGAAGATTGCCCCGTACGAACAACACAGATAGTCGAGAATTTTTCCAGAATTGTTCCCTATTTTCCCCTTAGCAGGGGACCAATCGGTATTTGATCATTCGGCTTGCTATACTTATTACAAAGGTAATCTGCTCTCGGGCGAGAGACTCCCGGTGTGGTTAGTGGTCAGCTGGATACTAACAGCCCGTTACATGGGGAATCGAGAACAATTGTTGAAGAACCAGCTTCCGCCCCCGCTCTCTCTTTAGTTTCCCCAGCGGATAAGGAGTAAGGGGACAGGCTCTTAAAAGGATAAAAGAACAAAAGAAAGGAGAAAAAAGTTACAAAATATGTCATACAATTGACTATGCACCCTTTGGTGACTAACATGTGGTCTTTTGGTCATTCATGATAGAACATTATGCGATTCCCTGATATAGTGTATGAAAACTGATCCTCAAGACACCAAAGATGAAACCAAACCCCTATATCGATATCAATGTACAAGTCCCAGACGCCGGGGACCATATCTAAAAAACCAACCTTTCCGTCCTTACAGCCGAACAAAAACACCGTTCTCTGCCATAAGAACGACTTCGATTGGCCGAATATACCTTTTCGCAAAGAAAAATCCAACTCTGTCTCTATGACCCGCTCCGGAAGGGAGAGAAAAAGAGCCCTGAGCGTTGTCGAGGCCTCAGACTCTTGCGGCCGTATGACGTGTGACCAGCGACTGTAGATCATCTCACCATTTAAGTGATATAACTGTATAAAGAAAACCACGTAATGTGCATTGGGTAAGAGGTGAGGCTGTTGATACCAGAGCCCTCGTCGCTATGAGTTAGGCGTCCACAGTACGACGAGGAGCATTGACATCCGTCTCCTCTGCCAAGGGCACCCACGTTGTATGGATTTGGACGCAACTCCCTCTGTAAGGGTTGATATGAACTTGAATGGATGACCTGTAGCGGATCGACAACTTCCGATTGCTTTTGTTTATCTGTTTTCGCTCCAGTCCTGCATTTTGACGTTCATACCCGGTACCTCATAAATGGGTTGTTGTAAGGCAGCCGCCTGGACAGCCGACTGAGAAGGTTGCGGAGGACCAGTTCCAGACCGACGTCTCCGTTCTCTTTCAAGGGGTCCAGGAAGCTCGGTGCTCTCGCCGCGGGCACGGAACCGCCGCCCGATTGTATCCATCCAGTCACCATCCTCATCCTCGCCTAACCAATAATTGCGACCAACGCTAATCATAGCACGACCAAGCTTTCCCTTCCAGCCTTGACCATCAGGAGTGAACGGCGAGAACGGCTCCTTATCGATATCGGCGACGCTGGCCACACTAGCGATGGAAGTGTTCCGGCTATGAGTCGGGAGCTGAGTGTGACGAGGAACAGCAATATAAAGACGCAGGGACTGGCGAGCAAATGCTAGCATGACAAAAACAAAGTATGCGCGGATGATCCATAGCGAGCAGATGAAGACAATGCTTTGGAAACTTTCTGGTTGGGTAACCGCGTTGCCTAGGCCATCGGAACTTCTGGCATACTGGGCGTTCTGGGCAGATGATGGATCGTACTGCGGGCTGGTGAATCCGGCAGTCTGTGCAATCGTCTCACTACCAGGTCCGGAGGTGTTTCCACTCTCATAATGTTGAGAGATGACAAGGAACCATGTTACACCAAAAGCAGCGGTATATGCGGCGTTGATGACGCTATCGAAGAGGTAGAGCCAGGCGAGAGCGAGGCATTGCAGAGGTGATTGTTTCCGGATATGTGGGAAGAGCAGTGTTGCGACGCCGAGAGCAAGCAGGGAGTAAAGGTACATGGACAGCTGGACGGGGGAAAGGTGGTAACCGGTTAGGAGCGCAAGCAACCCGTAAAGGCCGCTAATCTTGTTCAAAAGTAAGGACAGCGTGATGAGAGAAGCGCCCGTCCGCAGGCTCATGACATAGAGGAATGTCTGTTGTACTCCGAGGGTTCATTCTTAGCACCATCGAAGTCTAGACACGGAACGGGAAGGCCTTTTATCACGAAATTTTAATTTCTGACATACCTCTGGCCGCGGGATGCGGAGAAAACGGGTTGGTGAAAACCCCATCTTTGATATCGCCGATGGGTTGCGGTGTGAGTGGCACAAGCGATGAGAGGATGCAGTAGAAAAGGGAAAACGAATGGAAGCCACAGAAGAGAAGGAAGTGAGGAGGCTGGAAGTCAGCAACAGTTGGGTCACGATGCCCATGCGGTATTGTCACACAGGGGCTTGATTTTCCGGACGATCCGCCCCGCCGATCATTACTATCTTTGCCTATTAAACGCCAAGAAATGAGCGGCCTTTTAATGACGTTCGGGTAGGTACTCCGTAACCTCCGTAACATGAATTTACGTCCAATGAACTGTTTACTGCGCAAGTTTTCAATGACCTGGTTAAGGGAGGATGGCTGCATGTACTTCCAGTTATTGTTTTAAGGTCAATCTGAATGATTAGTTGGAATTCAATTATTCCCTTCCATGCTATTCCCTGCTGAATTTCCAAAGTGTTCTCTCGTGGATGTAGCTCTGTTCGCCTAGGCAGTCAGCAGTCTTGCATCAGACAATACGAGTACGACATTCCCGATGCTAGCGCTAATGACCAACTCCGGGTTGTTTACTCCGTCGTATTATGAAGATATGCGAATGTCTGCCTTGACCTGTTTCTTTTCGTTTTCATTTTTCGTTTGCTCCTAATTCTGCTGGCTGACATTTCTGGATGCTATGCAGTTGCGAATAGTATGGTGAATAGTACAATATATATGTATAGTAGACGTTGTCCAAAATCTTACAAGAGCCATGACATCTTAGAACCATAAACTCAAATCTGGGCCGTTAAAGATAGAAAGGATATCGCATGAATCTGGGGGGCAAGCAATGGGATGTTGATGCGATGTAGCAAGTAGAACGCCGAATTCTCCCACCAAGCACCAGGCGACCGTGTAGGAAAACAGGAAAGAAAGAGAAAAGAAAAAACGGCTTCGATCTAAACACGCTATTCACTTGAAAAGCAAAGGGAGAAAAATGTACAGATTAAGAATGGCAGCAATATTGACAATCTCAAACCTCATCAATGAGATCGAGGAAACAAATTGGTGAATGTAATCGAAAATGGTGACCAGGTAGTACATTACAGCATTCAGCAAGCGCATCCATCGTTGGTTGTGGTCTCTTTTGGGGTGATGTTCACGTCGATCACTAGAGGGTAGCAGTCAGCTCTGAGGAATTTAAAAGTGACACCGAGGAAACAAACCTTGGCTTTCTCCTCTGCTACCTTCGCCTTCCATGCCTGGTAGAGCTTGGGCTATCCGCCGGAAAAGTTGCTTGACATTATGACCAACTTTGGCGCTAGTCTCGATGAACATCAACCCGTTCTTCTTAGCCTCCTCTTCACCCTGCGCGGTTGTGACCTCACGCTTGTCGTTAAGATCAGTTTTGTTTCCAACTAGAACAATAATAACGTCATTGCCACGCTCCCCTCGTACGTCGTCTATCCACTTGCGGGTGTTCTGGAAGGACTTGGCGTTTGAAATATCGTAAACAACAACAGCAACACTTGAATCCCGGATGTAGGAAGGAATTAACGACCGGAATCGTTCTTGACCGGCTGTATCCCAAAGTTGGAGTCGAACAGTTCTATCCTCTAGGTACATAGTCTGAAAAAAACGAGTTAACACTGGCATGAGCGATAAAAAAGTGTGTCGAAGGTGGGGTTCTAGAATCGAGAGGCTGGCTAATTGCGGTGAGATATACCTTCGACAGAAAGTCGATTCCGATGGTCGCTTGATATGTATTATCGAATGAGTCGTACATAAATCTCGTAATCAGGGACGTCTTGCCAACTACATGTCACAGTCAGAGACTTGGACAGACCATAAACTAATGGAAAACTGGCATGTGGTATACATACCGCTCTGCTCTCCCAAGAACACCAGCCTGTGGAACAGTCAGCAATTAATTCAGACTACAGGAAGCTTTGGTATACAAGGACATACTTGAACTTTTTCAAAGGGTTCGAATACGACCCTACAGCGGAAGTGGATGCCATTGTGACAAGAAAACTTGAAAGAAGTAATGGTAGGATAAGGGGTAGCGGAGGGAAAGTCGCAAATAATATTTACGTAGAAGACCTGTGGAAAGGGTGCCCAAGGGTATCTTAAGGATAGAAGGACATGAAAAGGGGGATATTATCGGGGATCAGAAGCAAGACCAAGCAAGGCGCCAGAGTTGTTCAAATGGGCGACTGGGGAGGAGTGAAGTCAACTCAAACCCATGGATCAATATGGGGAAACTGTACGGTAAGTAGATGTTATGGACTGACAAGCCAGCATTAAACTCCGACCGCCTCCCGATGACGGATTAAATCCGGCCCGACCAACCCATCATCAGCGCAAGCTGCGGGTGTTGCTCCAGAGTGATCCGGACAAGAGCTCCGCTCCACCGCAATCTTTCTATCGTTTGCGAGTCTTTCGTCAGGTGTCTCAAGGCCCTGTAGCTTCTTCGCTGTTTCCTCCAGCTTAAAAAATCGTGTCGAAAGTTGGAGGTCACCATGGGTCTCGTCTATCCAGCTGGTGCTGCTACCGTGTCACTCCTGGTGATCGGGGGATGTGAGTGAACTCATCCGACTGGGATAATGATATAGTGCGCTAATCAATACTTGTAGATATGCTTTTTCACGGAGATGGCGAACAATTTAATGTATTCAAAGATACTTGGATGTTACATATGTTCTGTAGGGTACCTTGTTAACACGTCCTAGGTTGGTCAATTTCTCGAATCGGTATCTCCATATGCTTGGGCAAACATTGGTATCGCGATGTGCATAGGTTTATCAGTTGTTGGAGCAGCATGGTACGTCCTAATCTGGAATTATGTTTTCTATTATATCATCACTCATGGCATGACTATCCAGGGGTATCTTCCTTACAGGTTCATCGATTGTCGGCGGAGGTGTCAAGGCGCCAAGAATTCGGACGAAGAACTTGATCTCCATTATCTTCTGCGAAGTAGTAGCTATCTATGGTGTCATCATGGCAATCGTTTTCTCTTCGAAGCTCAACCTCGTCGGCGATGACGAAATCTTCTCCGGCAGCAACCAATATACTGGATACGCACTCTTTTGGGGTGGCATCACTGTGGGCATGTGCAATTTGATATGTGGTATCTCTGTCGGTATCAATGGAAGCAGTGCAGCTCTAGCAGATGCTGCTGATGGAAGCCTGTTCGTTCGCCCCATCCGTAATTCTCTCAGAACAGCAAGTGAACTAACATCTTTGCAGATTTGTGAAGATCCTTGTTATCGAGATCTTCAGCTCCGTCCTTGGCTTATTTGGCCTTATTATCGGGCTTCTGGTGACACAGAAGGCTAACGAATTCAATTAAGGTTGCTTAGCGGTTGATGAGGGGAGGTTTCTCCGAGAGAGAATCATGCGATTCGGGGTTGGAACCATTGTATGACTTCTATGTTACAGCTTAACTTTGTTCTGGTGTTCTATTATATACTGCATTATGGCGTACGGATCCGATCTGACTGTAGAGTCTTTTGGGTATGCGTGAATAGCATTGATTGTCCCGCTGGTTTGCCATGATGTCTGGGTCGATGTACAGTAGTAGGTGTGGGAAGTAATAGAAGTGCCGATATTCTCAATACGGGAGCGCACTCTTTTGTATAGCATTGATTTAAATTTCACGATGTTCTATTAAGAGTTTATAGAAATTTGGCGATCGTTGTATTGTTGACACTGATAAGCTTGAGCGATAGCAAATATCCTACGGGGCGCTACTAGTATATTTTTGGAGGGTCTGATTACCAGGTGGTTTCCCCGCATCCGACAAAACTCTCTTCTCAATAATTCTTGCAAATTCTAACAAGATAGCACTCAGAATGACAGACATCAAACTCAAGGCAGCGATATTGATCGTATCGGACACTGCCTCTAAAGATCCTTCCACAGACAGAGTTGCTGACACTCTTACGTCTTTCTTCTCCACGGAGGGGTCAAATACTTGGGATCGACCGGCCACTAAGATCGTACCTGATAATGTACTCGATATCCAACGAGCCATTTGTGACTGGACAGATGGCCCAAATTGGGTTAATCTCATCCTTTTGAGTGGCGGTACGGGCTTTGCGGTTAAGGATAACACTCCTGAGGTTCGTTGAACCTGCTCCAGAGTTACTCTGCTTTGCTAAAGTCGTTGATTAGGCTGTCTCGCCTCTGATTCATCGCCATGCACCTGGCCTAGTGTGAGTTGCGTTATATCGTCAGACCTAAATATAATGTGATTACTGACCGTAAAACATTAAGTCACGGCATGATTGCCGCTTCTCTGCAAGTTACACCTTGTAAGCTGATGTACACATGTTACTTGAGGGCTCACTAACAATCATTCTAGTTGCAATGATGTCTCGGCCTGTCGCGGGTGTTAGGGACAAAACATTGGTTATTACCTTGCCTGGGTCGCCAAAAGGGGCTAAAGAGAACCTCGACGCGGTCTTCAAGCTTCTGCCACATGCATGCACTCAAGCGGCTGGTGCTAACTCTCGAGCCATCCATGCCGGCGGTGTCAAGAAACTAGAAGCTGAAGCAGGGTTATCCTCGGGAAGCAGAGTGGAGCCCAATCGCGACCATCACCATCATCACCAACATCATCATTCTCATCCTCATGGTCACGGACATGGCCATGTTGCCCCCAAGGCGCATACGTCACCATCGGAGAGACCACAATCAAATGATCCCAGTGCAGGCCCGAATCGACGATATCGCGAATCCCCGTACCCAATGCTATCAGTGGATGAAGCACTTGGAGTGATTAGCCAACAAACCCCTGATCCAGTGATGATTGAAGTTCCTGTAACCACTGCCTTAGTCGGATCTGTCATTGCCGAGGATGTCTATGCTGCAGAAGCTGTTCCAGCGTACCGAGCTAGCACAGTAGATGGGTACGCCGTGATTGCACCTGAAGCAGCAGATGTTGGACCAAGCACAAAGGGGGTATTCCCCGTGGCGTCTATTTCTTACGCCAACCCAGGAGGGTCATTGTCCCCCTTGGAGCCCGGAACTATCGCCAGAATAACCACAGGGGCTCCTCTTCCACCAAATTCCAACGCTGTAGTAATGGTTGAGGATACAGTGCTCGCTTCTTCGACCCCTGATGGGAAAGAGGAAGCAACAGTAGAGATATTGACTGGTGATATTAAGCCCAACGAGAATGTCCGTGAGCCCGGCAGTGATATTGCGCTGAGATCGAAAATCCTCCACAAAGGAGACCTCATTACGCCAGTCGGAGGCGAGATCGGCCTTCTAGCAGCATCTGGAACAAAAACAGTTAAAGTCTTTAAGAAGCCATGTGTGGGTGTTTTAAGTACTGGAGATGAGCTCGTTGAGCACGACGATCCGAGAAAGCTCCATGGAGGGCAAATTCGAGACTCTAACCGTCCATCTCTTCTCTCGTGCCTTGCCTCTTGGGGCTTCCCCACTGTCGATCTAGGAATTGCTCGTGATACACCAGCAGGTGAACTGGAACGGAGCCTTCGGGATGCCCTTCGCGGAGTGGGCAGGGCAAGTTCTAGTGTAGATGTGATTATCACCACTGGCGGCGTATCCATGGGTGAGCTCGACCTGCTTAAACCCACTATCGAACGTACACTAGGCGGGACCATCCATTTCGGCCGCGTGTCCATGAAACCAGGCAAGCCGACCACATTCGCCACGGTCCCGTTCAAGCCAACGTCGTCAACTCAACAAGCCCAGCAAGAGCGGGAGACTAAGCTTATTTTCTCATTACCTGGAAACCCTGCCTCGGCCCTCGTGACACTAAATCTATTCGTACTCCCCTCTCTTTACAAGCTAATGGGCATGGGCGAAAAGCAAACTGCGCCCGGCTTATCTTCAACACTTGGATTACCACTCGTTTCAGTCAGCTTGACACATGCGTTCCCGTTGGATCCCAAGCGTACCGAGTACCATCGGGCTATTGTGACGGCGTCTCTTTCTGACGGCCGATTGTACGCCTCTAGCACAGGTTTAGGGGGGGTTGGGCAGCGGAGCTCTAGAGTAGGAAGTCTAGCGAGCGCAAACGCGCTCTTAGTGCTCCGACCAGGAAGTGGACAGATTGAAAAGGGTGTCCTGGTAGAGGCATTGATGCTGGGACCGGTCGTAACAGCGCAATAAATGTTCTCCAGTAGCAACATATTATCCCACTCTCACAGGATGCCATCTCCCAGAAACCGATTGTTTCATGCTATCCCGAGTTAATTCCAAGAAATGTACTCTCTAATTTTATTCCATCATCGCTTTTCAGTCCAAATGAACTTTGAAGCAATGCTTAATGAATGTTAGACTCCAAAAGCAGGATCTCATGAAACTCCTTCACAACCGTTCGGCCACCCACCTCAACCTCAACCCGTTAGGATCAAGCATGTTGCAGTACTCATCGTATTCTATAACATATCGAAACCTCCAGCTCATCCTGCTCTCCCTCGCAGCCAAGCCCCATAAGTTAGCCAAACTCCTCTGATCATGCAGATATTGCGGAGGAAGATCTGGAGGATCTGTTTGTATAGGGAAGAACGGGATAGATCGGATTGCAAAAATAGATGGTGTTGGAAACAGGGATATTTTGAGGTGGTCCAGGCTTGGTGGGCTTATATGCTGGTTTGTCTTTGGCTATGGACAAAATATAAACAATATTTCTGACAAGTTTCTCTGCTCTTTCAGGGTCTAGGTTGGTATATTCTTTGATGAGTTTTCCTCCATCACCGTTGAGGTAATGGGAGATGTCAATGTCTTCGTTTCATGCAGAGAAGGATCCGGATTTTATCAAGGAATGGAAGCGTATGATGAGAATATGAACAGCTCTATATCTTAAGATTTGGAAAATAAAGGGTTAACATTGTAGGACTTTTATAGAGCATTATCTAGAATTTAGAAAGTAGGTTTTCCATATATTTGCCAAACCAGTGTTTATTATTGGATATGCCCTAGGCTTTAAAGCCCATGTTCCAGAAAGCAAGAGCCTCTCCGTTTGGAACCCAGATTTTAACTTGATATCACCTGCGTATCCTTGCGGTACAACTTTTCCAGCTGTATGCGTCATCATTCTTCACCTCCCCGGCTGAATCTCTAAAACTGATACAGATTAAGCGTTGACTGATGGGGAGGAGACACGCGTAGGAAGAAGATTGAGGCCGTCACATTACGATGCTAACGATCTGTATACATAAGTCCCTGTTATTGGGATGCCCGTATGCTTCTTTATGTAACTAACCTGACCGGACAGCACCCCTTACCCATGATATCAGGACTATAATGATCAACGAAGATTTATAGTCATACACTGAGGGGCCTGTAATTGTTCTATGATTGTATGTATTCTTATGTCAATTTGAATGAAAGCGAAAGGTATCTAGCATAGCCTATGGCGGGTTATAACTTAACAACCGAATAACTCCCGGGAGGTATGATGAGCAACATTGTAGCAGAAAAAAAAAAAAAAAAAAAAAAAAAAAAAAAAAAAAAAAAAAAAAAAAAAAAAAAAAAAAAAATCCATGTCTATCCCTCGCGTCCGACCAGGATATCACACCAAATAACACCTCAACCGCTATAAACATGCGAACAGATAAAGGAGTAACAAAATTGGTACGAAGACCATCTACATTGATCAACCTTTGTGGACTTTCCAGTTCTTCTTCTTCTCAGCCCGAAACGCAGGAATGGTATGGTCTTTACCTTGCTTGCGAGCGATTTCTATGACAAGGAATCGCACGAAATCTGAAAGGGTCCAGTAGCTGCTATGAGCACTCAGCATATTCAAGTATTGGATATTTAAGGGTCCGCCACCGCCGGAAAGGTAGTAGTCTATTTGACCATTGTCATTGAGAAGAAGCATACGTTTTTCCGCGATCTCTTCGCGGGTGAAGTCGTGGGTTTCAAGCTCGACATTGGAGGGAAGTTTTGAAATGGCGGCAGGACGAGATGGTGCTACATTGGCGGCGGCCATTATGGATGGAGCTGAACTCCAGCGAAACACGCTACCGAACGACTTCCAGAATGATGCTGATGTGCTGGGGATAGAAGTTACTTTAAGTGAGTTGGCTAGGTCGCTGTCGACGGCGGCATTAACACGGTACGCGACTGGGTCAGTAGTGTGCATAATGTTGTAGAGGTTATCCACAGCCAAACATCCATATGTGTCTGCTTCTCCTGCCACACCACGCACTAGATCATCACCTTCGCAGCCAGGCTTTTCCCTTCCACGCCGTGGTAAAAGATTCGCTTTGTTGAGCAGTAAGAAGAACCCAGCTGGGCTTCCACAAATGAATAAGTCCTTAGTGTCAAATTCGAATATGTCCCCAGGAATGCTAGTCTTGGAGAAATCAATATCGGGTACATGGGTAGGCTGATGACTGAGGATATCTAATGCCATTGCACTTCCGAGGGAATGGGCAAGTAAATGCACGCGGCCATTTTGTTGAAAACCAGGGTTGTTCTTACACCATAGCCGAAAGATGCGGTTGGCTTCTTTGACAACTGCCTGGATCATCTTTGGCTTATGATGCGACATGTAATAAGGAATATCTAACATGACATCACTTATCAAAGACCTAACGGCAGGTATCGTCTCCGGAGTGATATCGTGAAGGGTGAACTTGTTGCTAATTGGATCCTCAACGCCCTGGGAGTCGAAGTTGGCATCCTCTAAAGACAAAGTCGACCGCCAATTGACAGGGAGGATCATGATACCTCCATGACCCTGGCGTACATGTGGCCACACCGGCTCACTGTTCAATTCCATATTTATATTCCTTCGAAAGGCGTTAATAGCATGTGTGAAATGGAAGCTTTCCATACGCTCCGACAGCTTCTGACCTATGCCATGGATGACAAGTACTAGATCAGTCGGTGTGGGGCGCATCTCTTCTATGGCACAAGCATAGCAAATCTGCCTGCCACCACTTGCTGTGGACATAGTGCGGGACTGAGTGCTCCGGAGGTAGTTTCTGACATCAACAGGATTAGGCTTAGATGGATGTAGCTGGTCCCATAATCGTCGATTGAAGCCACGAACAACCGGTATGCCAATTTGCCGTCCTTTACGAATTGCACTAAGTGGCCTTCTTCCTCTGGATACTGACGGCAATAAGCTGGGTCGAAGAATTTGCGCATCTCTGCCATCAACATAAATCACACTAGAATTAATGTATTGCTTAACAGCTTCTGAATGTGCAGCTGGTCCACCAGCAGCCCGGCTCTCATCAAGAGAGGCGATAGCCGGATTAGGGGTGGCAAGTCTCTCAGGTCCACCCGGAATAGGACTTGAAGTTTCTTGATCACGCGTAAGAGTGACTGAACTGAGACGCTTCGTATCATCTTTCGGCCATAATCTGTGTACGATTTTCATTTCGGCGTCTGCACCGTTTTCCACACAGCTGTTGAGCTCATCTTGCCATGTCTCCGACCAGGGTTTCAGATATACGTAGCCATCCTCGAGTTTATTGGCAAGCTCTGTTTCCACGGGCAGCATGGTATTCTTGTAGAACCATGTCGCACGAAGCACGCTTGAGATATCATGTAGAGGACTCCAGTATATAGGTTTCATCTATCAAGTTTAACGCTCGGTTTCGAACAAAAGGGGCATTGGACATAAAAGTCTTACCTTCAAATTAGGTAATTCAACTAGATGGAGTCGCGATACACCTACAGGAATCTTCATACGAGCTTCCTGGTTATCACTAGAATTGTCAGAGTCATCTAGAGAGCCATATGGAGCTTGTTCTTGATATACGCTCGTCCTCAACCCCGACGGCTTCTGTGTGGCATGGCTAGACGTGGTGGGCTGGTGGCCAGCTCGGTGCACTTGATCTCCATCTTTTGACGAAGTAGACTCCAGCGAGCGCCCAAATACGCTTTCAGATTGGCTTAGAGGGGCCCTTGCAAACGGCGAGCCACTGATGGTGCCCCCACGAGAGGGGAAGCCACGCCAGCTTGTACTTTCAGTACCCTCGGATGCTGCATCTTCACTCTGCGGGGATCCAGCAGTCCTGCGTCTAGTCGACTTGAAATTACCGCTCGGGGATGGCTCTCTCTTGCGATAACTGAGAATGCCCGACCTATCGCTTTCACCCATACCGCGATCTGAAGAATGGGGAACACGAGATTTGTCTCCGGGATCCTTGACGCTTGTCTCTGGGCTGCGACATGCCTCATCGCCTAAAACGCTGCCAGGAGCACTCGGACAACTTTTATGACTCCCAGTCCAACTCTTATCTCCATGGCTTCCCGATTGCCTTTTGCAACTTGTGTCAAGAAGGAACTCCTTCCCAGGTACCGCTATTCCCGCATTTCGTATTGATGAAGCATCCGTACGCGAATGCTTTCTCGCCGCTAATTCAGACTTTGTAGTGCGTAGCAAAGACAACCAGGACTCCTCGAGTGCGATATTGTCTTTGACCGAGAATGGTTGAGGTGGAGCTCTTTCATTACCTGGCCCTTGGTTGCTGGACGGCGGAGGTAAAGCCGTCAATGGATCGTCAATAGGTAATGAGGATACGTAGAAGAACTGAGGGCGAACTTTCGGTGGCTCGTCTAACGAATGCCAGGAAGAAGGTACAGGATCATCATTTGCCAGAAGACATGTCGGGCCGTAAGTATGGATCGGCCCCGTCATTGTGGGCACTCCGTAAGATACCGAATACGCTTATTATCTGGGATCTTCAAAGGGGGAAAAATGAGCGCGGAGATAAAATCTATCAGCATAGGACTAGCATCGCTGAAACACGCAGTGATTAGCGGTCTGTAACGCTGTCTTGTGTTAAACTCGCGTCAGCAAGGGAGGATCGGGATAAATGATAGCTTCTGGGTAGCTTAGCGCGCGCAATAGGGAGGGTAAACTATAAGAACAATGGTGGCAACGGCGAGACAAGCATCATTTGAGGTCCAGATTGCGACCTTCTTGCAGGTAAGGGTCGACAGGCGTGCATGTTTGGCCAACGGTGACTTTTTGTTGCTCGTGGTCCGCGTCTGAGCCTATGACGTCGTCACACGTGCCTTGGCTTCCCGCGGGAATTTGTTGGCCTAGAAAAATCAGAAACAAAAGACACGTCGTCTGCAGTCTTGGAGGCAGTGACTACTCCCAACAGCCCCTGATTTGGTGTAGAGTGGCCTTGCTTTCGAGGAAGAGATATCATTGTAATTTTCTATTAAACAGCAACTATATGAGGGTGGAGCTAAGTGAACGACCGAAATCCAATACAATGTGGAGAAAGAAGAACACTCGCAAGAACAAAAGCTGAAAACAAGCTGCGACGCTCAACGGTCAATCAAAAGAAGCAAAACAGGTACTAGTTATGCAATAATCTGGATTACATGAGTGGCCGTGAAAGTCTTTCGGTGTCTAGCTCCACGCTCCACCAAACTAGCACCGGCAAATAAACTTACCTTTGCGTGGGGCCATTGTCTCGACCTGGAACTGGTTGTCACCGTTGTCAGTCGGCATAATTGTATCTATCGACGTGGTTCCCCATCAAGGACAGTGCTCGTATGTGCAGTTTCTGGAAGACAACCAAAGTGGCAATGGGGGATCCCAGCATGTCAAGGAGCTGATACACATCGTGCATGTGCTTACGGATTACACTGTCAGGAGCACAGAAGGTGCGAATACTCATCTCCTTGACAATTGCTTTCCAGTTATGGAGGTTGGAACTGAGAAGGACTGGATTTGTTGAGCTCTCTCCATGAAATCTCAAAGACCTTTTGTTTTCCGAGATCAAGCGCTGTTGGGTGGCTTGATCAAACTGGAACTCGACGACTGATGGCCTGTTCTTTGATCCCCAGTAGTCCTTGATTCTCTTGATCGATTCTTTTGAAAGTCGACCTTCACGATATTGTTGAACGAGAAATGCATTTGCACTGACACATATCATGACCTCCAGTTCTGAATACAGCATCGCTTGTATTGGAGGATTCAGTGAGATAGGAGTAGTCGATTGTGGTAGTTGATCTTCCATGCCACGGGGTTCATGAATGATTGTCAGCGAGGCCTTCGCCATGCCTTCGGTCTAATCCAACATTAGTACACAAAGCAATGTCATTTTGTTGGCAGAGAGACCTACAAATCCATCCACTATCTTCTTTCGCAGATCTTTGAGACTCTTTGATTTGTGTTTCTCACTCGACTGGTATCCCAGGTCTGCTGTTCCTCCGAGCCAACCGTTTTTCCCAAAGAGCTTTTTGTGCGAAGACCGTGTCTGGCAAAGCGAGCTGTCGATGTGATCGAGTCCGAACGACTCATTCTCGCAGATGTGAATGGGTTCCTGCACGGGTAGTATGGGTTGCTTGCAAGGATTATCATACTCCAAGACTGCAACCTGACTGGTCATGGCCTCGGGGGGTGTATTGTAGGTTGGTGTATACTCATGTCCGTCATGAACAGCCACGCGAAGCCTTTCTACTGCAGAGGCTCCAACAGAAAATGGCTGGACATCACGTACCGGAGGAAGCGACAAGATTTCTGGGGAGTAGAGAGACTGATCAGATTCTGACCTGGGACCAATTGATCGCGAAGAGTTTGTTGATGTATCAAAAGGGGGAGTGATATCATCTGTCTTGGGGGACATATTCCAGAAAGATCTATATTCCTCATAGAAGGGATTAAGTTTCGCGACATCCTCATAGGGAAGCGTTTGGCTGCAGCAGTTAGTATCTCAACCCGTGTCGATTGGGATTTCCAATTGCTTACGCTGGACTAAACATGATGGGAATCTCCGAAGATAATTTCATTGCAATCTGGACAGAGTGAAGAGGATGTTGACGTCTGTTCTGCGGTAAGAAAGAGTATAGAGAATGATATGGAGTTAAATAGCCAAGGTGGAGTTTTAGTACGGAGTTTAGCAAGACAAACCATATTTATTTCAAAAGCTTCAAGATCGATATCTCCGCCAACTATTTACTATTGTTGAAGCCTTCAAAGGCATCGTAATATCGGCGACGAGGCGCTAGTTGGGATCTATAGTGCCTAGTTATGGAATATCCTATTTTTAAATGAGGGAAGCGTTCTAGTACTATTCAATAGTCTTGTATTGACAACAATAGCAAATTTCATGATAGGTGTTGTATTCACGACAACAATAGGACTTTATTTGATTGTGTCTGTGATTGTATAGTAGAGTGACTACTATTCAAGCCACAGCTATATACAACCATCCGTAACAAAAAACAAGAACACATACCAACAATAGACCTTTATGTTAATGTTATACGTGACTACCTTCTTTTCTCACTCCAACCCTGACTCATTGCTTTTCATACTGCATTGTACATCGATTTGTGGAGAATCATGGTTCATGCTCCAATTGTCCAAGCCTCGTTGCCATGAAGATAAGCAAAGTGTATTTTTCATTACCTCTACCCTTGAGGTAAGATCCACACACTCCATATTCTCTTTCATATCTTTTCCTGTGTTGTACGTCCTAATAGATGATGTTAGGAGGAAGTTGCATGCCCTGCCAATCGGCCGGTCCGCTCGGCATGCCGTGAGAATTGCCGATTTGGTTTAGAGTACAGAGTACACGGGCACTAGTATTATGACATCACGGTCTTTAACTGACCAGAACGATATATCCTCAACAAGTAGAAAGTCGCCCCTGCTGCAATGGAAGCATACAAGTTGCTCTTTGTACTTTGACTAGGCTCTACTATAATCCTAGATACTAATGCCCATCACCTAGGGGTTGTTTAGAAAAGTCTAGAGAGAAGCACTGAGGCTCTCTCCCACAACTGCCGTAGACCTTATTCCCGAAGACAACTGCCCTTGGAATGGATAGCGAAGAACAATACTGCTTCGCCGGTTGGGAACTTAACCTAAGCAACTCGACATGATTGATACCGGAGTAGTCAAGGAAATCAAGACGGTAAAAGTGGGACTCAGAACGACTAGCCTGGATCATAAACACGGTAATTTTGCGTATACGTTAGTAGTGATGTCGATTGGATGGTGAAAACCTGGACTACTAACTCTTAGTCATGGGCGAATTTAGTAGTACTCCGTACTGCAAGTGAACATATGAAGCATCAGCACTCAAATCGGTTCACCGATTAGTGTTCCTAATGCATCTGCCTGCCACAATCGCCGAGCCTATTTCCATATTCCTCATTCCTACACCCTATACTGGAAGCCCCATCCGTTAAATTGAAAGGCAAAAAGCATCGGCATGTTCAGTGACCAATGACAGGCGGCAGAATCAGTGCAGAATCCCGGCGATTCTGCCGATACTGAAGGTCACGTGAAAATACTCCACATGCCGACTTTCGCTTCCGCAGGGACTCCAGACTCTCGGAACGAGCGACGGCACTGACCTCAGTGCTTCCCCACACGCTCAGTTGTACTTCCCCCCAATGACATACCGCCATGCCATATTGCTTACTAGCCCGGGACCCTCCCCTGCTGCAATTCATTACCTGATACCCCAACTTGAGAAACTATCTATGGCATCTCCCGTCGATCCAACCGAACATGAATGCCGTTGTGGTTCCCCGTGGCGGGCTTCGATACTGCTCCTCGGGATCCCTCCACCAAGCTCTCATTTATTCATAAATGAGCGCTTCACCCTTTGAGATTCACTTCTTCTCCTTGTAACACTTTCACTCAACCTCTTTATTTATTCATGTTGGTGATGCTTTGATCTTTCAGAACTTTTACCTCTTATTGTCATTTGTCGATCCTCATCCCCACAGCCGCGAATACCAAAGCAATCAAAAGCTTAATTATCGCGTTTTGCCGCCAGCATGGCTCAAACCCAAGAGAAGTTTGATATTGTCATCGTGGGCGCAGGCCCTGTTGGCATTCTTTTGTCCCTGTGTATGTCAAGATGGGGTTATAAGGTTAAGCACATCGACAACCGCCCAGTCCCCACTGCTACAGGTCGCGCCGATGGTATTCAGCCTCGTTCCACTGAGATTCTCCGTAACCTCGGCCTGAAGCGCCAAATCATGGCCTACAAGCCCGCCAAGGTTTACGATGTCGCATTCTGGGATCCTCTCGCCGGGGAGCAAGGCATTCATCGCACTGGCAGCTGGCCTAGTTGCCCACGTTTCATCGACACTAGATATCCTTTCACAACCCTTGTTCACCAGGGAAAGATCGAGCGCGTGTTTTTGGACGAGATCGAAAAGGCCGGTACTACGGTTGAGAGACCCTGGACTATTACCGGATTCAAGAATGATGGCTTGGACGAGACCTACCCCGTCGAAGTGCAGCTGAAGTGCCTTGACACCAACGTGATCGAGACCGTCCGCTCTAAGTATCTCTTCAGCGGTGAAGGAGCCCGGAGTTTTATCAGACAGCAGCTCGGTATCCAGATCCATCACAAGGATCCTATCTCCTATGTGTGGGGTGTTATGGACGGTGTTGTGAGGACAAATTTCCCTGATATCGAGGTGAGAATCCCAATCTTCATGGTCCGGCTGATCAAACACTGACAAACTTTTCGCTTCAAAACAGACCAAGTGCACAATCCACTCTGACGCTGGTTCGATCATGGTAATTCCCCGTGAGGACAACATGGTCCGTTTGTATGTCCAGATCGCTTCATCCTCGGATCCCGACTTCAACCCAAGAAAGACGGCGACTGCGGAGGAGGTTCAAGAAACTGCGAAGAAGATTCTGAAGCCATACTGGGTTGAATGGGATCGCGTAGAGTGGTATTCTGTTTACCCAATTGGGCAGGGTATCGCCGAGAAGTATACTCTGGACGAGCGAGTCTTCATGGGTGGAGATGCCTGCCACACACACAGTGTATGTCAAGCCATCTTTAAAAAAACACATTTCTTCGAGCTAACCCTCCTTTAGCCCAAGGCCGGCCAAGGTATGAACACTGCATTCCACGACGCTTTGAATATGGCCTGGAAGATCCATGCTGTCGAATCTGGACTCGCCGATCGCTCTACTTTGAGCACATACGAGAGCGAGCGCAAAGACATTGCAGAGACTTTGTTAAATTTTGATGCGAAATACGCCGCCCTGTTCTCCAAACGCCGTCCCACTGCTGGAGAGGTTGGCTCCGCTAGCCATGCCACTGTAGCGTCTGGCGGTGACGAGGAGGATGAGTTTGTTAAGACCTTCAAATCATCATGCGAATTTACCAGCGGTTATGGCGTTGCCTACAAGCCGAACGTCTTCAACTGGGATGCTAGTCACCCGGCCAAGTCGTCTCTGTTCGACGTTCCTGGTGTGAGACTGACCGCAGGACGCTCTTTCACGCCCTCGACAGTCACTCGACTGGCAGATGCCAACTTTGTGCATTTGGAGCAAGAGGTGCCAGCTAATGGTGCATTCCGTATCTTTATCTTCGCAGGTAAACAGGAGAAGACAAAGAAGGCCATCACAGATCTTGCAGCAAACCTAGAGAAGGAGCGCTCGTTCCTGTCGGTCTACCGCAGATCCGACATTGCTGATGTTTCATTCTTTGAGCGTCACCAGCCCCACTCCAAGCTCTTCACCCTCTGTTTGGTGTACGCTGCGCAGAAGAACCAGGTCGATATGGAGGCTGTGCCCCAGATTCTCCGCGATTACCACCACCACATCTACGCGGACGACATTCCCGACGTGAGAGTCCCCAATGCCAAGTTCGCCGCACACGAGAAGCTTGGCTTTGACCCCGAGATGGGAGGTGTAGTTGTCTGCCGCCCAGACAGCCATGTTGCCTGTACCGTGCAGTTGGTGGAAGGCAGCGGCACCGCGGATGCCCTGAACGCCTACTTTAACGCTTTCTCGACCAAGCCGTTGGGCCAGGACCAACAGCAAAGTCGTCTTTGATTCACGATGAACCTGTCTATTTTATAGCTTTTTGATGTACATAGCACTTTGGTCTTTCTGTCACATTGGCCCTGTTTGAGCACTTATGTATGACCCGCATTCTTGGCGTTTGTTGTATAAATACCTGCAATAGAAGTATTCCCTTTAGAACATATATCTTAAGCTTGGACCATAATTCCGAAAATACTCTGTATTGTTAGTTGTGTAGCAAGGAATGTCATTGTTATGGGAGCAACGTTCCTGGTGGTGTGTGCGCGGAAGATGCCCACGGTGACTACATAAATCATTCTCTTCGCGGAAGTCATTCCCCGCACAGATCAATTATCAAGACCTTCAAGAGTGCGCTCAGCATTACAACTGTACCAACAGCCAGCCAACAAGATGCTTTCTCTAGTCCTTTCAGCTGAACTCACAGGGTAAGTGTGCTCTATATGTGGTTTCCAAATTATGACAAGCTCTACTTTATGATTTTTCGCCTTCTGTCTGCATTTATTTGCATAGCTTTCCCGGACCTCATAATCGCTGGCAGTAGCTCACCTTAGTGTAGAGTCACCGAACTTCGCCCTCAAGATACTCCTGAGAACCCCTACTACTACACTTTCAAGGTGCAATGCACGTCCTGTCGTGAGACACACCCAAACTGGGTCAGCTTCAACCGTTTTGTAAGTCCTGTCTGGCCTATCGCCTCTCATCCGTTGTATCAATTCTTAAAAATTACTTTGACTCAGGCTACTTATGAATTATGCAGGAGCAACACGAAATCCCTGGAAGCCGCGGAGAGGCGAACTTTGTCTGGAAATGCAAGCTTTGCCAAGTCAGTTTGTTCATTCCATAAGTGCTTCGCCCTGCCTGCAGCTAACAAGTGTGACCAGAAAACCCATTCTGCCTCTATCGTCGCAGGTCCAAATGTGTACGAGGCAGACGAAAAGCGCAAGGGCCGGAAAGTGATCGACATTGACTGCCGCGGTCTTGAATTTACCGAGTTCAAAGCTGATGTGAGTGGCGCTTCATCATTGTAAACGACTAGAGGTGATTCTAATAGGCAACTAGGGCGAATGGGAGGCTAAGGGCACCGAGTCATCCACTCCTTTCACGGCCATCGACCTGTCAGAGAGCGAGTGGTATGACTATGATGAGAAAGCTGGAGATGAAGTTTCCATCAAGGAAATTACCTGGGAGGTGGGAAGAGCTTGAGAGGTCTCATTATACTGAGGATACCGTACCATTGATGGCTATTTGGTCTACAATAGCATTCTGAATTGTCTCATTACTATCATTTCTGTTTAAACTGCCGGGGTGATCGTGGCTGGAAACATCTAGTAGTATCTTCATGCTATCGCTTCTGCAGTGCGATATTTTCGAACATGAGGAAAGTGACATAATGAGGGATACCAGCCATATGTGCCATATACAAGGGGCCAGGATGGATCAATAAATGGCAATATTGAGGAGTGCAATTTTTACTGAAACTTGATGTACCTACGTTGGCTTTTTGACTTCGGATAAAGGCGGTGACTGGAGGCATATTATCATTGGCTGCTTCAAGACCGGCAATATTGCATTTTTGGCTGACAAGGAACCTTCAATTCGCCGGCGAGAGTTGGCGACCGCGATAATCCTTTTACTAGCTCAACACGCGACCAGCACAAACAGCACCTCGGCGCTGGAACTAGTCTTTGATTCAGCTGGCTGTTTATCCTCTTGCCGAATCGACACGTTATCATCAAACGGGTTACGCTATCTTTAGAACTGTTCAGTCGCGGACCCTGACTAGACAACCATAACCATGAGTGTCAGTATTTAGTACTTGCTCTTTTACAATTCAGGTCCAGCTGGACTTGTTAACACAGTGTCTTTGGTTTATGCTGACTTCGTTTGCAGTTCCAACCAGTCAACCCCCGCCCTTTCTTGCAGACTAGGTACGCATTAATATCATCCAATCGCGCTTTTTCGATCGCATTGAGCCTTTCTTCCGGCTAAACCAGACCCCGCGAGTATTGCATGTCTAACAGATGTGTTATAGGGTCGGTACAGAGATGGTTATTCGTCTCAAGTGGGGTCAGACCGAGTACAAGGGCAAGCTGGAGAGCATCGACTCGTACATGAACGTGCTATTGCGGGACACGGAGGAGTTCATTGATGGAAAGAACACAGGAACTCTTGGACTTGTGCTTATTCGGTATGCTTATTGCTCTTGCATGGTTGGGGTTTGGCGGATGGGCAGCTCTCCGCTTGAGGACCGATTGTGCTTTCGTTTCAATTCACGATGATAAAGAAACCTTCGCTGACCTTCGACTTCATATAGGTGTAACAACATTCTCTGGATGGGATCGGCAGACAACGTCGAGATGACGGACCTGGGGCTGCGGTAGAGAAAGGTTCGACCGGGCGTCGTTTACGAAACACCATGCGAGAACGAAATGCATATACCAGTTTGTGTCTCCTTGGGAAAGATACGTCGGTGGACGAAAGAGAATTGTCAAATGAGCTTTGAGAACTGGCTATCACAGGCTCTGTCTATCTTGTTTCTGGCACGAGGCGTTTTCAATGATGGCTTCTAAATACAATATTTTTTGGGTGACATGGCAATTCAATCTGCAAACGACGAAGAGCCTAGAATTTGCGATCTAAGGAACAAGAAAAAGCCCTCTTTATCGCTGGCGCTCGATCGTCGAATAATGGCAATGTCGTGCTGTTTACGAAGCATGCGACAATAAAATGTCTTAATGTCTTGAAGTATATAACCGCTTAGACCAACCAAATTAAAGGAAGAGTGGAAAACAACCCAAAGGTTTTTTTGGGATACATTGACTGTATGGGGACAATAAGTAATTATAGGTGCTCCTGGGCAGTGCTATCGTGATTATGCCGGGCGAATGAAATTACCCCACCTTATAGAAATTCCCAATGGCTCGCTGTCTGTCCTTCTGCCGAACAACATCTGACGGAAGTGATACCGACACATTTTTATTTGGTTGATTTAGCACCTAGTCGATCACATATGATGAGTATCCATAGTCAAAATACAGACGGTTACTACAATCTGGGGTCGTTCCACCGGCCGGTGGCCACCGCCAGCCCCGAGGCTCAGACCTGGTTTGATCGAGGGCTCATCTGGACATATGCTTTCAACCATGAGGAGGCAGTTCACTGTTTCGAAAAAGCCCTCGAATATGACCCCGCTTGTGCCATGGTGTACTGGGGGCTTGCGTATGCCCTAGGTCCTAACTACAACAAGCCATGGCAATTCTTCGACCGGCGGGAATTGGAAATGACAGTCCAGCGCACTCATCAAGCAGCTGAAGATGCCAGAAAGCACGAGACTACGGCGAGGCCCGTAGAATCGGCACTTATCGAAGCTGTCCAGAAACGATACCCGCAGGACCAGCCATTAGGAGACTGCTCGTCGTGGAATCAGGGATACGCCGATGCTATGGCATCTGTGTACCAAAGGTTTCCAGATGATCTAGACGTCGCAACACTGTATGCAGACGCGTTGATGAACCTGACACCATGGGAGCTGTGGGATCTGCAAACGGGTCAGCCGGCACCAACCGCACGCACCATTGAGATCAAGACGGTGCTTGAGCGAGCGTTAACACAGGACGGAGCTCTCCGTCACCCTGGGTTGTTGCACATGTACATCCATCTGATGGAGATGTCGGGAGCACCCGAAACGGCTCTTCTGGCTGCGGACAACCTCCGTGGATTGGTACCTGATGCAGGCCATCTCAATCACATGCCTACACATCTGGATATTCTATGTGGCGATTATCGGAAGGCAATTGCATCTAACTCTGAAGCGATCCGAGCCGATGAGAAGTTCCTTGCTCGCGCAGGAGCTGTTAACTTCTACACCCTTTACCGGTCTCATGACTATCATTTTAGAATCTATGCTGCTATGTTCGCGGGGCAGTCGAGGGTTGCCCTGAATACTGCTGAAGAGCTGGAGTCATCCATCCCAGATGAGCTTCTACGTCGCGAGTCACCACCAATGGCCGATTGGCTTGAAGGGTTTTTGGCAATGAAGGTACATGTCTTGATTCGGTTCGGCCGGTGGCAGGATATCATGCAACTTGACGTTCCACGAGACGAAAAGCTGTACTGTGTGACAACCGCAATGATCCACTACGGAAAAGGCGTTGCGTTCGCTGCAATGGGACAGGTCGACCAGGCAGATAAGCAGCGAGAGCTCTTCCATAAAGCCTTAAAGCGTGTTGCATCCACCCGCATGTTGTTCAACAACAAATGCATTGACATACTAGCTATTGCAGAGGCAATGCTTGACGGAGAACTGGAGTACCGCCGGGGCAATTATGATGCTGCCTTTAATCACCTGAAACGATCAATCTCTCTAGATGACGGTCTTCCTTACGATGAACCCTGGGGATGGATGCAGCCAACTCGGCATGCTTATGGTGCTCTTCTACTCGAGCAAGGGCGGGTTGAAGAAGCGTCGGCAGTGTATAGTGCTGATCTGGGCCTAGATGACACCTTACCTCGTGCACTGCAGCATCCGAACAACGTGTGGTCGCTGCACGGCTATCATGAATGCCTGATTAAGCTTGGGCGAATTGCCGAGGCAAGGATTATCAAGCAGCAATTGAAGCTTGCAGCAGCTACAGCTGATGTCCGAATCCAATCGTCATGCTACTGTCGCCGAAGTGATACTGAGCAGAACTGTAATTTTGATCCTTCGCTATAGTATCTTGACCTGTCGTTAACTTTTTCTAATCTTTGTAATTACTCCCAAATTATGCTGACGATTCCCCTTGAAATCCAAACGTTTCATCACTACTTTCACTCTGTAGCTTACCAACTTTTATCTCTCCACTCTATTGATATTGTGAGGTGAGGATTGTCTCAAGTAAGTGCTCGTATGGCTTCTCTCTGCATCCTTTGCACTCGGGCGCTAGAAGGCTGACAGACATTCTAGAAGCATGGCACTACCTCGGATACTCTGCGCGGTTTCGGAAACACTCTACTGTGCCATGGAACAGGCTCCTTTCCTGATGGAGAAGAATAGCCTGAAATTCTTCGGTTGTGTATCATCAGAGATCTGCAGAGTCTAAATTGAAAGAGCACAGGATTTTGCCCATCCTAAGTTTTGATCAACACACCATGCCAATCCCCCTCACTGACGATCTCTTGCTCGGAACAAGAGTGGGTATGTATAATCTCCTCCGTATTTCTCAGGCACCAACCCCACCGTCACCAAATTCTGTTTTACACCGCTTCATTGTCAATGGCCTTCGTTTCTATAAAACCCCTTCAAGCCCACTTTCTAAGGGGCCCCTCTGATTCTGACAGGTGGCTCACCGTGGAACATACCCGAGAAGTTCAAAACTTCAAATACTCCGAAGAACGGAACTCCATTCATCTTGTACTGCGCAGTACAGCCGCCTGCATCCTAGCTCGTGGTGATCCACTGTGATGGCAAAAAATCCAGTCCACTTTCTCGCCCGAAGAAGCAGGCCTGCCGACGAAATGGTTCCACAATGCCAAAGTTTGCGTTGCGCTGGCGCTCTAAAGAAGTTGTGAATCCACTTCAATTGGCGACGGCAACTGAAAGTGACAAACAAAATGGTTCATTATCGCGCTCGTGCTTACTCCTAGCGATAATTGGGAATGCTATGGCTCCTCGCCTAGCTTTCCTATAGTAATGTTATTCAGGTATAGTAGCTCGTCGACTGGTCAACCGATGCTGTATGAGGTCAACATGCGTCGAATGCAATGCTTGATGCATATGATATGTTTGACATGTGCAGCTGCTGACAGGGTGAATAAATATATCAAGTAGCGCAATGAGGACGTTACTTAGAAAAACTAGTTTGAAAGGGAAGGGGTGAAATAGAAAGCTCCAAAATAAGTACTGTGGTGACTGGGGTCTGATGAAGTCATCACTGAGTGCTATACTGTGTATGTACTACGCAGTAGCCGTTGTCGTATCGGGAAGAAAGTCGCCTCGAGAGTGAGTTACACGTGTTTTGATCTCCTACTGGTAAACCGCAAACATTCTCAAATCTGCTTACGTTTCTCCTGATGGCTGATCTTGACCAATTTTCCGAGGTTGCCGCGGTTAGATATTCGTGATTATAAGGCGGTATTCATGTGTGTTTCATATGGGTGAGTTGTTCGCTGTCTCATTCCTTACAATAAAGCACGGGTGGAGAGGATGGAGACGGCAAAATCGCGAAAACCGCGGCCGCCGTTTAGAACGCCGTGAATAAGAATCGTCGCTTGCCCGCAATATGGAGCCATTTGGTGGAGGGAAGGCCCCACCGTGAAACTCATCCGGGCTCTCCTGTGGCGATGGCTCGGGGAGATTGGAGTTTCCAAGACTGCCACGGCAGATCACCACCATCACCGCTGCATGTATTACAAAGGATTGGTCCATCTGCCTTTCTTGACCTTCTTTGCAGGACAAGATTCCCCATCAACTACTGTATGCGGGAATCCTTCGTCACTATCAGTATCCATGTATCCGAGTGGATCATATTGGCTCACTGAGCAACCTAAAGCGAATCACCATCCGATTTGAACGGACGGTGTGGTTAATTGCAGGCTATCTCTGGTTCACTTTCGGCGATACCATGGATTGAAGCAAGTCAACCGATCTCCGATTAAGATTTTGAAGGCTTCCGCCAGTTCCGCCCACTGTGGTGGCTCTTTCGGCCCCATTGGCCCGCCCTTCCCAATGATCTGCTTCGGAATTTTGCTCGCTGATGCTTGAGAGGCTTAGTAGGGCTGTTGGCGAAAAAATCGAAAAAGGGAATATGAGGCAAAAAATCAGTTCCCTCGAATCTTGGCATGCCAGTGCTTGCGGTCGGTTCTTAAACCCCCTGGCCCACGGTTATTGTTCTCCGCCAGATTGCGTTGCATTGTTTTTCAGACCGTAGCGGCTGTCGGTTTCTTGATCATGTCTTTGCCGCTGTCCAATGATGTCCTCCTCCTGGTTGGGGAGTACCTGGAAGACCACCAAGACCGATATAATCTTGTCTTTGTATGTCGACGCTTCCATGATCTCTTCCTGCGTCTAGTCTATAGATCTGCGACGCTCAAGAGTTGTGCGCAAACCCGATCTTTTTTACATGCCATTCTCCGTAAGCCCGAGCTGGCTCGGTCAGTGCAGAGTGTGCACTTTGATGATTGGCAACAACATCATTCCTTCTCTTCTACCTCCTCGTCCGAGCAGGATATGACATCATTGAATAATTGGGCTGAGACTATTAGCCATTCTCATGAGGAATATGTCAAATGGGAGCAGGATCTTCGCCAAGGCGTCGAGGAGGCCTGGATAGCACTCCTTTTACCCTTGGTGAACAATCTTAGACAGCTTCGATTGGTGTATCCGAAGAAAAACGTATACCTCGATCGAATGCTGCAGAGGGTCACGAAGGGCGAGAAACCCTTTGATGCGCAGCCCGCATTCAGCATGTTGCAAGAGGTATCTCTCAGCCATCAAGATTCCGAGGAGGATACCAAAGGCAGCTATATGCCATCGCAGGTCTTGCCATTTTTCCAATTGCCATCAATGCGGACGTTTTCAGCGGATTCGGTGATTGAGTCTAGCCCCCCGCAAGACGATGAGCACATATCAACACCTAAGGCCCCGGTGGCCAGGTCCTCTCTGATCTCGGAGATTACTCTCAATTCCAGCAATGGTTCTCAAGGAATGGAGAACTTAATTGCTTCATGCTCCTCACTTAAGTCTTTCAAGTATCAGCACTCTGATTCACACTTGCTTGCAGAGGGCTTCCAACCATCCGCGTTTTACCGGTCGCTGGCAGGCAGTAAGAACAGCCTACATACTCTTTGGCTCGATAATTACGGGAACCATCTACCATTTACTATTGCCGGAGTCAATGAAACCCACGATGAATGGTTCGGCAGCTTGGCAGATTTTATCGCGTTGGAAGACATCCGAATTCGCCTACCCAATCTGCTCGATATCCGATACCAACCTGAGCCCTCCACTGTACTTACCGATATTTTGCCGCCGTCGGTAAAGTCTCTTTACGTTGAAGGTTGTAAAGAGAACACCCTGGGAATGTTGATTGGGCAGCTGAAAATGGTGCTCAACAAGCGACAGACCCGCTTCTCTGGATTGCGACGCTTAGATATTGAAGGTTTCTTCCATGACGAGGAAGATGAAGACGCCTCGGGATACCAGGAGAGCGCGGCTACTACCGGGGGCCAGAAGACCATCAAGCCACGAGTATACGAGATGGCTGAGCCACTCCAGGCGGCCTGCGCTGAGGCTGGGATTGAATTGTTCCTCCGCGACCGTGTGATTTCATAATGGCCTCGACGCATTTGCATCTTATTTATAGACGATAGATCGTGTTTTTCTTTTGTTTGTTTGTTTGTTTGCGTAATACCCGATAGATATGATAGACATGCTTTACCTTGGTCTTTGAGCCTTTCCTCGTTTTCTTTTTTGTTGCTGCTATATCTTATTTCCCTAGAATAAAAAGAATCTATACGTCTGATGGTCCTTTGAGAATTCCTACACCGTAATATCACTGCCAGCTTACGGGGTAACAATCATATCCCCATGCACTGCCGATGAAGTCCATTAGTGACTTATTGGAGTATGATTTGCAGAGTCCAGGCTGGGTTTAATGAAGATGACTTGGCTCGAATAGTCACCGATAATAGCTCACCAGCCTAAGGGAGATACAGTAGTATTGCATGGACAACAATGCATCCTCATTTGATGCTATTGGTAGGACTCCAAGTTCATCATCTCCCTTGTCGAACATGTGATTGTCATGATGCTGGGCGTAAGAATAATAGTAATTTGCTTTAATAGACATAGACCAAGGATGCCTATAAATCCCCAATGTAACATCGACAGAACCCTCCATTAAACCCCGTGATCAAAATGCGATAATTTAGAGGACTCGTAGCGGCGTAGTAAGGGAGTAAAAGTTGTATCTGCCTAGCCAAAGCGTCGGGCTTTATATGATGGATTCCTCGGAGAGGAAATATCGTGCGGCATCAACCGAAAGGAATGAATCCTTTTCCAATCAAGACCAGAATCCAGCCATGACTGTCGCAACCCTGAACAGCTTTCTCCGCATTCACGTCACATTGGGGTTCTCCACAACTCCAATGAGCTGTCTGGGGTCCAATAACGGTCAACCCAATAGGAGCCTTACAACCACAGTCCCAGTCATCATCGGACCAAATGTTCCTATGCATATGAGGTCGTCTTACAAGGCGCTCCGGTCGCTCAAGCCATTCCGTCTTCCTCACCTGGAAGCCTCGCGCATTTCCATTTTGTCTCTCGTCGTGATCCTTTTACTCTTGTCGTAATTCATTGATGGCATTTTAGTGACTGGTTTTCCTCAATTTTTCATCACATTGGTTTGAGCGCCCTAGAGAGTCTTCATTATTCTCATCGATCAGTCTAGACGATAGACATACACTATACACCATGGCACATAGCTCGATCGATCAAGTGGAGGATCCCACTTATAGTCGCGAGAAGAAGGATGAAAATGTCGAAACGCCGCCAATATATGACGATCCGTTTGGGGATGAAGAGTTCGCAGAGGTCAAGTATCGCACCTTGCGCTGGTGGTAAGCACTCCTATAATGCAAATCCAATTATACCTTGCTGAATCTGCTAGGCAATGTGGAATGAGTACATTCCAACCACATCATGGTAACACGTATTATTTGCTGACTTGACAGTCATGGTCGCCGAGACTATTTCGCTGGGCATTCTATCGCTCCCTTCGGCCATGGCGGCGCTCGGCCTTGTTCCGTGAGTGTTCATTGGCAACGTCCTCTTGTCGAGACTTTGGTGGCTTGGTGGCTGATCCTAAGCATTTTGCTTGGCTATACTGGATAGGGCTGTGATCCTCATCATAGGCCTCGGCTTGGTAGCTACGTACACAGGGTACGTTCTCGGCCAGTTCAAGCTGCGATATCCCCACGTGCATAGTATGGCAGATGCTGGTGAAATATTGCTGGGCCGATTTGGTCGCGAATTCCTGGGAACTGCCCAATTGGTCTTCTTGATCTTTATCATGGGTAGTCATATCCTGACTTTTACCGTCATGATGAATACTGTAACCAATCATGGCACCTGCTCCATTGTGTTTGGGATAGTCGGCTTAATCCTGTCTTTCGTTTGCACTTTGCCTCGTACCTTGAAGAAAGTGTCCTGGCTGTCAATTTCCTGTAAGTTGGGGTTGCCGCTCGGAGGAAGGGTGATTGAGCTGACGATCACAGCATTCATCAGTATTATCGCGGCCGTTCTGATCACCATGATCGCTATTGGAATCCAGCGACCTGGTGACGGACATATCGATGTCACCGTCGATACCAGTTTATACAAGGGCTTCTTAGCTGTGACAAACATCGTCTTTGCTTATGGTACGCTGAGTAGGGTCGACTCAGACAAAGCATACACTAACAACGACATAGCTGGCCACGTCGCTTTCTTTGGCTTTATCTCCGAGATGGAAACACCAACAGATTATCCCAAAACCCTGTATCTGCTTCAGGCAACTGATACAACCATGTATACCGTCACTGCTTTAGTCATATACCGATATGGTGGCAAAGACGTGTCATCCCCCGCATTGGGATCAACGAGTCCATTGGTCTCGAAGATCGCCTACGGAATCGCCATACCGACGGTATAGCTCACCCCATGATTGCATGCTGCAACGGCTGATAATGGACTACTAGATCATAATTGCTGGCGTGATCAACGGGCATGTGGCCGCCAAGTACATATATGTTCGTCTCTTCCGAAACACAGATCGCATGCACAAGCGGAATCTGGTGTCAATAGGGTCATGGATTCTGATCGGATTGGTGCTCTGGACGCTCGCATGGATTATTGCCGAGGCGATCCCAGTGTTCAACAACCTGCTGAGTCTGATAGTAAGCTTCGCATTCCATGTTACTTGTATGAAATCCGATGATGCTGACTATCCTGTAGACGGCATTGTTCGCCAGCTGGTTTACGTGTAAGTTATCCTGACTTTTTGGGGACAACAAGCTAATGCATGCAAAATAGACGGAATGAGCGGCATTTTCTGGCTTTTCATGAACTGGGGCCGTTACACATCTTCCCCCCGGAAGATATTCTTGACCGTAGTCAATTTGATCATTGTTGGCATTGGTGGATGTCTGGTGAGTTTTCTCAATCTCCGTTTCCTTCCTTCTGTTGGGAAAATATAAACTCACGAACATCAGTGTGGACTAGGATTGTACGTATCAGGCAAAGCCATCCACGACGATCCAAGCAATGCTAGTTTCTCATGTGCCAACAATGCCTGATTGATGGCGATATAACTTGGTTTAACATATCCTTGGAGGTTTATATCTCGACTTGCTGTGGCAACACACTGTCATATAGACATATACGTCGCGGAAGCTTCCAATCAATGACCCCTAGTCCTTTAGTTTTCGATTTAAGCTACTAGTAGTGCCATGGCTTGCGTGGTGATTGGACGGAATCATGGGGATAGGGAGCCCTGTGTAGGACAAGTAAAATAGGTGCATAAAGCTATACACGACGCACTGACTTCTGACAGTGATGTCAAAGATACTGAAAGGATGGGTTGGAGGAGGGTGGCGGAGAGGAGAGAGGGGGGGTTTATACTCCGGCGGCTCTGGCACGAGCCTCAGTGCCTCACGCTAAGTCACGATGCAAGAAGGCGACAAATGCCTCTGGGGAACTCACGACCTTGTAGGTATTGGGAAGGCTCGAGAGGGGCCAGATCTGAACTAATTCTGCTCGATTTCTGATCAACACAACTACGATAGTGCGTAAGGTAAGCACTATGATTATATCATATGACTGCTACTTCGTATTTTGCATGAAGCTTGTTGATATAACCAATATACCAACACGCCACAGCCTTTTCCCCCAGAGCCTAACGCCAGGTTACCATCTAACTTCATCGGACCCAGACATTACCCACCCCCCTCATCCCACCTTCAGCATAAAGCTCCCACCATGGAACATCTATACCCTTAGGAAGGAGCCAACTTCATCCCCCGAATACGCTTCTCTTTCTCAAAGAACAGAAACAATGACAAAATGACCAAAATTAAAACAAATGTGTAACCTTCCAAGTTTCCACCTGCGACATTCCCTGGCCATTTATTTCCACCTACCCAGCAGATCTACAAGCAAGCAACCGCTTCCGCAATTCTCTCCAGCAGTGGACGACTTCTTCACGGCTCTCAGCGAAGTCTCCGTTCCCGAACCTGTTCCGCGACATCAGCAAACTGAAACGGAAGCGGCGAGTGAGTACCTGGGCCTGGAGCGGATGCTTTCCGAAGATCGGGTTAGTGGGACTATTGAGTGCTTGAGTGAGATTGCTGCGCCGGGGCCTGTTAGGAGGTCTGTTTCTGAGTAATTCTCTTTCTTTTGTCGGAAGATTTCTTGGGTGGATATCTGGTTGCGTCCTTGTCGTGAGTAATGCGTCTGCTTACGTGGGGATGAAGTTTGGGATTCAGCGTGAAGGGAAAGGGAATGTGCCGAGTGCAATAGTATTGCTATGCTGAGTGGAATGGGGGAATGAATACCTTTAATGGAATTTAATGGTCGGATATGATGGTTTGTCATACATTGTGAAGAGGGGAATTTGTGTTCTTGTCTTTTGCTTTCGCTCCGTACCTCAAGACTGCTGGTTATGTATGATCGACCAATGGACTATTATTCTAGCTAGCCGTGTCTGGGACAGCAATGAACCTATCCGACGATGATTTTAGATCTGGAATATTAACAATGGCTTGTTCATCGAAAGGCAGATGGACTCTTCAGCATTACTGCTTCAATGAGTTAGTAAATATCTATATCCCGAAGCCGAAACCACGAATTTAGATCTTAAGAACCACCCTTGACAGACGAGCCCGACCTCTCGGCCTAGCGAGAAGTTGAGCGCCTGTGTGACTATCTACCCTATGGATGGCGAAAGTCCCAACATGTTCTACTCGTCATAAATCTAGACAACCAGCCTCCATCAGGCACAATTCTTGAAGACATTCAAGACTAGAATCCCGAAGGATTTTACATCCAGGTTTAATAATTTATAGTTTCGGCTGAGGGTCGGCTGTTGGAAAGAGCGTTGAATGCCGAGCTGACTAACTTCATCCAACTTTCGAATTTTGATAACACAAAAAGGATACATGATTGGGATGAATAGGTTGAGATCCCTTTAGATTGATTGGAGATGCAAAAAGAAGGCAAAGGGAGAGACATGGAGAGTGGCTTATAACACCTAAGATCAATCTCTTTCGATTGAATTGAATTGTACACCTAATACATTAACAGTCTCTCAAACACATTGAGTTACTATTAAGTTGCAGCAAGAAAATATATATATGTAGTTTATCAACCGGCAGTGGCCCTGCTTAGAGATAATAAAGGAACTGTAGTATCACCGTGAACGATAATTATCTTTTTTGCTAGAGGAGCTTTTTGTTGGACTCAGGTTTGAGACATAGACCCTAGGGCTGTCAGAAGACTATAGTGTGTTACGGACACCATGCTTCTGTTTGATGACAATACTACTTCTTCATAAACTAGTCTATTACTTGCATGTTTGCAATGTAATTCTTTCCCTGTTCTTATGTCGTGTGCTATGACTCTCGTGACCGTGTAATGATTAGAGTCAAGCAAAGCTGTTTCTTTCCAATACAGTTATCGCCGTGAATGTGCCTGCTATAATGATTTCCTTATGTTTGTACTATACTACTGATGACCATGGTGTAAAAGCTGAAACGAGATTATACACGTCATCTCTACTAAAGAGAAGATCAACAATGCCGATCGATAGCGTTTAAGGACCAATATACGAAGGTTTCGGGACTCGGAAGAGGTAATTCAAGCTACCAACCTAGCGCGGCTCTCCCCTGAAATGACTCGGATCTTTCTACAACTACCATTGGATGGGCTTAGAGGAATGTTAAACACAATGCGACATTCCGATCGACCGTGAACAGCGAGGAGTCCGACAAAGCCCTGTTCGGGTTATTTCTTACCCATGATGGAGAGCAGCTCAGAGTAATAAAGGAATAAAATGACAATTTAAACTTCGTCATGGCCAGTTATCGACGTAGATAAATGCTATCTCCGTTTCATCCCGTAAGAAGGGGGGGGGGAAGGCCCAAAGGGTGGAATAGATATATGCTCATAGAATGACACAAGCAGCCTCGGCAAACGATAACGATAAGCGCGGGAATGACCAATACCGATGTATCAGTGCGATAACACATGCGAGGAAACGTGATCATGTAATGGAGTCAACTAATGGTCTGTCCAGAACCCCCAGTGGAGCAAAAGCTTGACGATCTTGGCCCCAGTGTGGCCATTAATCAACGTCCAACAGCGTCTGACAGCGTCTAACATGTCCAACCATGACCGTAGTAGACTTATCAATTGCCGATGGGATTCTGATAACACTACCTTATTGCCAAAGATAGGAAAAGGATTGCGTATTTGACCGCGCAGCTGTATATAAGCGATCCACTTTCCCCAGTTCCGCCACATCCGCCTTCTCCACGAGCATTGACTCGTCTCCTTGATGCATGGAAATGCCTCGTTGCTTTTTTTTAACAGGGATGAAGTACCAGGATATAGTCACCATGTCAGACATCGATATTTTGATTTTCCACACCCACAAGTGAATGCAGTAGAGATGATGTTGCATCGGCGGCCTCCGGATTCATTCGTGCATGCAGATGAAGTATGAGTTCTGCTCAGGAGAACTCCTATACACGAGGTTGCCGTGGCCTAGCTATCCTTCGGATGATGCCTTCATGTGTTAACTGCATTTCTTCGGTAAGGATTGACTGCGACCATTTTTATTGGGTCACACGACTCGGATATTACCGTTATGACAAGGGACACTTTTGGCGAGCCAAGGAGCTATAGAACAAAGCGAGATTTCTTGGATTTCTTGGATTTCTGGGGTAATGCATATGCATCCAAATTGGACCCTGGACATCTGTGTATTAAACGTCGATCTATGAGCAATTGACCCTTTTCATTACTCAATACAATGATATCTGGCCCGAGGTTGAACTGCCGTCGGCCGGGTCCGATGGGAGGCAAAAGCCGGGATCGGTGGAGACTGACCGACTTAGGGTAAGCGGGGAAAGAATACCAATGCCGTTGCTGCAAGCCACAGCATATGGGAGGGTGCTACCATGCCTCTGGGAAGCTTCGTTTAGCAGCATGTATACGAATCCTCGTGAAAGTTTGACTTGGACGAAAGCCACATGGCACGAATCGCCATGGAGAACACCCTCGATGGCAGCCATGATCACCCATTCCGATCATCGGCCAAGCATCTTGGACTCTCGCCTAGTGGCGTTCCTCAAGCAAAGCGAAGTCTGGGGAAAGGGCCCACGTCTTGGTACCACGGGTACCGCCGATGACCGGGAAATTAGCGAAAGGGTTATACCTTTTTATAAGATGCATCCAGGTTGCAGTGGGTTCAAATGGACCTAACGATCGCAGCGGGGCTGAATTGGCTGAGCCATTTCTATATGCAGTATTTCCCCGGATTAATTGCATGACTTTTCCATACCATTGTCTCATAATCAGACCACTTTTACGATATCACGGTGCGTGTTGCAGGTCTTGGCCATGCAGCCTTACTTTGGTTTGCGCGGTGCGCTTCTAAATCGGGCCATCATCTGGCTCGTCGTTTGCCCAGCATTCGTCTGTTATGGCTACAACCAGGGTGTCACCGGTGGGCTGTTGACCCTGGCATCGTTCGCCAGACAGTTTCCCCAGATGAACACCCTGACCACTGAGGGTGCCGAGCAGCATTATAACTCCACTATTCAAGGTAGATTTCCTGTGTCACCCTTGTCACAATTGTCACACCCCTGACTCTCGTCGCGTATAGGAACGGTGGTCGCATTGTATACCGTGGGAGGTATTTTCGGATCCCTGTCATGCATTTACCTGGGTGACCTGCTTGGGCGCCGGCGCGTCATTTTCATTACCTCGTTCATCTCCCTTGTCGGAGCCGTTCTCATGGCGAGCTCGTTCCAAATGGCTCAATTCATTGTCGCCCGTCTGGTGCTGGGTGTGGGTACCGGCGGCTATGTTGCAACTGTACCTGTGTGGCAGGCCGAGATTTCCCAGGCTAAGAAGCGTGGCGCCCACGTCGCAACGGACGGCATTTTCATCGGTGCAGGCATCGCGATATCCTTGTGGATAGACTTCGGCTTCTACTTCGTGGATGGCAACTCGGTCTCATGGCGATTCCCACTAGCTTTCCAGGTTGTTCTATCGATAGCAGTCATGATATTCATCACAATCTTCCCCGAGTCCCCCCGATGGCTTGTCAAGAAGGGGCGAAAGGAGGAAGCACGCGAGATTTTGGCTGCGTTAGCCGACCAGGACCCCCATTCGGAGAGTATCAACACAGCTCTCGCCGACATTGAGCGATCCCTGGCCATCTCTGGCTCCGGGTCTTGGAAGGACATGTTGACAATGGGCGAGCAACGGTTGTTCCATCGGACGATTCTTGCCGCCACCGGACAAATGTTCCAGCAGATGTGCGGAATCAATCTGATCACCTTCTACGCCACCACCATCTTCGAACAGTATCTCGGTCTCAACCCGTTACAGTCTCGGATCCTTGCGGCATCCATGACTCTCACCCAGCCTCTCGGCGGATTCTTGGCTTTCTTCACCATCGACCGGTTGGGCCGACGACCGCTGATGCTGTGGAGTGCGGCGGGCATGTCGATAAGTATGGCGATATTGGGCGGCACCACATCGGTGACCGACAACACAGGCACCCTGGTGACGGCTGTGGTGTTCCTGTTCGTCTTCGAGTTCATCTTCACCGTGGGTTACTCCGGATTGACCTTCCTGTATGCCACAGAGGTGGCTCCGCTGCAGCTGCGGGCCGCCATCAGCGCGGTCTCCACTGCCGCTGTCTGGACTTTCAACTTCCTTCTGGCGGAAGTAACACCAGTCGGCTTCAATACCATCTCCTACAAGTACTATATCATCTTCGCCGTGTTGAACGCGGCCATTGTACCGGTGGTATACTTTTTCTTCCCAGAGACCAACGGACGGACCCTGGAAGAGATCGACGAGATATTCCTGCAGTCGAAGACTGTTTTCGACCCGCCTCGTCTGGCGCGGACGCTGCCCAAAATGCATCTCGCCCAAGATGTCGAACCCGAGGCAGGGAATGAATCAGGGGATAGCGTTGTGAAGGACAAGATGTAAATGAAGGCAATCGATTCTTCGCAAGTGGTGGAGAAATGAAATTACTATTGACGGATAGTGTATGATCAACATGATACTTGCTAGTTCCAATACGGATGATCGGCTCCTCGGGCCGTTAGGGTTAAATTGAAGATATTCTTAATGGTTTTATCCGTGGTGCTCCGTGTCGCTTTCGCGGCGCGAGTCTGAATCAATCTGAAACGCATCCTGAGACACTCCATAAGGAAGGATCAGCTCAACGTTATAAATTCCTCAGTAGGCGCCCAATGATTTGCATACCACAGTACCAGGATACTTCGTTCACACTGTACACCATGAAGTCATTCTTGTTCCTAATTCCCCTTGTCCACGCTGGGGAAGTCGTCTGGGACGGCTTCTTCAACTCCTCCTTCACTGTCGATCAGCTCGACCAATGTAAGACTGATATATCACGTTCCATCTCCACAGTAACACTGATATGTATTAGGGTCTTGGTCTAACCAAGTCGGCCCTTACCAATGGTATATCCACGGTTCGGAGGCTACCACGAACTACCTTGAAGTCAGCGCCGACTTCAAGAACCCGGCCGACAAGAGCGATGAGAAGGGCATCCGCATCAGCATTGTACAACGCCCCTCATAAACACTTCGCTGAGGAAGAGTCACTAACGTATAGTTCTAAAGGACGATACCTCGTCCTGGAATGGCCAAACCATGATGCGCTCTGAGCTCATCCCTCAGACCGACGCCGATCTGGGCTCTGGAACCCTGTTCTACCATTTCTCCCTGCAAACCAAGGAGGAAAATGCCCCCAATGTGGCTCTTGAGCATCAAATTGCTTTCTTCGAGGTACTTAATCTTTCTACTTCCCTTCTAGTCTAGTCTTCTCCATGGATTGCATACGCTAACGACGGGTCCAGAGCCACTTCACTGAGCTCAAGTACGGCGGTGACGAGAAGACTCTCCGCTGGCTGACTGACGGCAAGTCGCAGTGGTCCACTGATCTCGTGGCTGGCACATGGTACAACTTCGCCTACGAGATTGACTTCTCGGCGAAGACAGTTGGTCTTTGGACCTCGACCGGAGCGGAGGCCTTGGCGAAGGTTGTGGAGCCTGTCAGTGCGGCCACGCAGACCGATTCGAAGGATTGGCACGTTGGTGAGCTGCGTCTGGATAACGGACAGAAGGGAGGCAAGGAGGATTGGTTCTGGTCCGGTGTCTACATCGAGAAGGGCGAGATCACCACGGCCATTGCTGGCCCCGCTGCTTAAAGCACTTCATATTCTAGTTCTTTGTTCTACAGGGTGTTAAGGGTATTAGATATTCTGTTGATCGAAGGTCATAGCATGCAAAATAATCCATATTGTATTATCTCATCACATAAAAAGGTTTTGCATTAATCATCTCATGAATCGGACTCCAGCCGTGGATAACCCCCACCAGGTCATTTACCGCACGCAGTAACCACCATCAATGCGGAGATCACTACCAGTCATGTACGAACTGGCATCACTGCATAGGTACACATAAGCACCCTTCAACTCCTTCGCATCTCCATTCCGGCCCATGGGAATCATACTCAACCAGAGATCCTGGATCTTCTGGTCCACGAAATCCGACAATCCCGTATCGATATAACCAGGCGAGATACTGTTCACACGGGCAAAGTCTCTCCATTCATTCGCCAGCGAACGCGCCATGTGGATACACCCAGCCTTAGCAACATTGTACGAGGTCTGCTCCTGTGGGAAGTTGGCAATGTGACCCGACATACTGGCCGTGATGACCAGGCTGCCCTTGCCCCGCTTCTTAAAGTGCGGCCCCACGGCCTTAGCGCAGTGGTACGTTCCGTTCAAATCCGTCTGCACAACCTCCATCCAGGCCTCGACGGTGGACTCCAAGACGCCACCGTCGGCGGTCCGACCGGCGTTGGCGATGAAGGCGTCAATCTGTCCAAAGTCCTTGATCACGTCGTCAACGAGCTTCTGGACGCTGTCGAAGTTGCCAATGTCGCATTTGTAGGCCTTGACTTCTACACCGTAGGTTTTCCTGAGTTCCTCTGCGTTCTTTTCGCCGCCTTGGGGACGGGAGGCGTAGGTGAGGGCGATGTTGGCGCCCATTTCCGCACAGCCACGGGCGGCTTCGATGCCCATGCCGCGGGGGCCGGAGGCGCCCGTTACGACTACGACCTTGCCCTTCAGGCTGAGGAGGTCAGTCAGGGAGTTGGCGGAGGGAACGGGGATAGGCATGGTGAACTGTATGTACAGCGGACTGTTTGACTTTTATTTTCAAGAGACAATTGAGGTACGGAGGATTGGATTAATTGAACATCGAATGCTGAGGTAGAATGAGGGCTATAAGTAGCTTATGTGGGCTGGCAGTGATGTCATAGGGAGTTGTTCTAGATTGATGATATCACGACTTCTCCTGCCCCTTCCGATCGGTCTACGAACTATTATTGGGCAATGCAATATCGCGGGGTTTAATTGTGTTTTGTGGCGTATTAGAATAGCATTACAAGAAAGTTATGCGAGCATGTTTTTCGTAGCAAGGGTATATGCGCGGAGATTAGGATAGCATTAGTAGAACATTATGAGAGCGGGCGTGTGACGGGAATGAAACCCTACACGGAATCTCAGAACCAACCGGATAGTGTTGCTACAATGACGACACGAGGTGGGCACTTAAGGTTCCACTTGCTAGCAAGGCATGTCGTCCTAGACCCAGATAGCAGGGACGTAGCGACACTAGTTCTATATTCATCACCATCTTTGTTGATCAATTGGGGGACCTTGAGACCCAATTCTCGCGCTAATGTCGTCCGATCCCGTTGAAGCCCCCTCATTGCGGAGGGCGAGTACATCGCATGATAATAATTTTGACGATTCGTTTCTGGGACGGTTGGTTGAAACGAACTATACGCTAGTTGACTTGACTTGGTTTATTGATTCGTGACATAATAGGGTGCGGTCGTTCTTCAATCGAGATCGCCATGTCGGCGTCGTAAGCCATAATGATATCCGCGACCAAGAGATTGAGCTTCACACGTGGAATGGGAAAGATGATCCAGATAACCCGTATGTCTAGTCTAGTCGGGAAACTCTAGAACCTCGCTGAGAAAATGATCTAGGTTCAATTGGAGCACATCCTACAAATGGACGTTGACCATCACAGTCTGCATAATGTATGTTGGGCACTACTGAAACACTCCAACCCTATACAAAGTCCTGCATATGCTAATGTAAAATACACAGATCAATCCTCACGGGTATTCCCGCTGGATCCTATGGCGCAGGCAACGACTACATGGCCGAGCGCTTCCATGTGCAGAATGAGCCATTTCCGAACCTCGCCTGGGCTACAACCTCATGGAACATGGGCGCCGCCTTCTGGCCGCTGATCTTCGTCCCCTTAACGGAATCGTCCGGCCGCATGCCAGGGTACTTCGTAGCATACACCATCCTCGTCATCTCGCTATTTCCATCCGCATTCGCTCAGAACTTCGCGACCCTAGTCGTGACCCGCTTCTTCGGCGGAGGCGCCTCGTCCGTAGCCATCAACATCGTAGGTGGGAGCATCAGCGACGTCTGGTACGGCGACAAAGCCCGAAGCGTGCCCATGTCCCTATTCGGACTGACGAGCGTCATTGGAATCGCACTGGGGCCATTCGTGGGGTCCGCAATCCAAGCGATCCATAAAAATGACCCATGGCGATGGTGAGCACCCATCCACAGAGGATACCAACCACCACCCAAAGCTAACCACCAAACCAGGATCTTCTACATCCAAATAATCTACAACGCAGGCCTAATCCCCGTATTCTGGTTCCTCTTGTACGAAACACGAGCAGACGTGATCCTCGCCCGGCGCGCAAAGAAACTCCGCCGCGAAACAGGACGTCCCATCTACGCCGAAGCGGAACTCGACCACACAAGCATCTGGAAACTCCTCCAAGTATCGTTCGAACGGCCGACCCGCATGCTGCTCACCGAACCGGTAGTCGCCTTCTTCACCCTCTGGATCAGCTTTGCCTGGGGCATCCTCTTCCTCTTCTTCAGCAGCGTCGTGCAGACTTTCTCCACAAACTACGGCATGAACACCCTCCAAACGGGCCTCATCCAACTGGCCATCTCTGTCGGCGCCCTAATCGGCACCCTCGTCAACCCCCTCCAGGACATGATCTACTTGCGCTCTGCATCCCGCAACAAAGAGAACCCCGGCGTCCCCATCCCCGAAGCCAGGCTCTACACCTCCATCCCGGGGAGTCTGCTATTCGCCGGGGGATTATTCTGGTATGGGTGGAGCAGTTTCCCGCACGTGCATTGGATCGTCCCGACGTGCGGCGTTGCGGCGACAGGACTGGGCATTTATTCCATCTACATGGCTGTTGTCAATTATCTGACGGATGCGTACGAGAAGTATGCTGCTTCGGCGTTGAGCGCGGCCAGTCTGGGGAGGAACTCGTTCGGGGCGTTTTTGCCGCTGGCGAGTTATCAGCTTTTCGAGAATTTGGGGTATGGGTGGGCTGGGAGCTTATTGGGGTTTATTGGCGTGGCGTTGAGTGTTGTTCCCGTGGTTTTGGTGCTGAAGGGGCCTGAGATTAGGAGGCGGAGTCCGTTTATGAGGGAGTCAACTTTTGCTGGGGCCGAGGCGAAGCCGGATTTGGAGAAGAGTGAGAGTTCTGGGGGGAGGTTTGTGGATGGGCCGGTTGATGTTCGCAATACTGGTAGATAATTAGAGGTAGATTTGGATTGTGTCTGTTGGAGTCTGTTGGGATGGAGTTGGTCGAGGTTCGGCGTTGGTGTTGGTCTTTTTTCTTCTCTTTTGTTCAAGGTGGATATGGTATCTGATACACGGTGAATACCATTGACGTGGGGTGCAAAAAGGTAGATTATAATATTTGTTTGTACGATACATAGTGACGATTTGTATGGATAGGTCGAGGACGTTAAATGTATTCCATCTCTAGAATGTATTCATGATCTAAATATCCATTATCATGTACGCATGCACCCATTATATAACCCAATCGTGATTTATATACCTCGTGCCAGGAGTCCTTCGGCTTCCTCGGTTTGCTCGCTCATCTCCGTCTCGTGGCCCTTCTCCAGACGCTGCGCCATGGCCACTCCCTCTCTTCGGCCCTTTTCGGCATTGACCATCCAGACGAGCGGGATTGGCATCAAGATCAAGGGCGCAATGAAGAAGAATCCCGACCGTACCTGTCCGGTCGCATCGATGAGCATTCCTACGATAGCCGGCCCAATGACCGAACTGCCCTTGTCCGTTGCAGCGTACAGCGCGTAGAACGCGGCTTCACTGCCAGGAGGAATGAGCAATCCGAAGAAGGACCTGCAGTAGGAAGCCAGGCCACCTGATACCACCCCGTGGACAACGGCGAGCGGGAAGATCTCCCACGGCTGCTGCAGACCGATCACGCCCCACTTCTTGAAGAGAGGAATATATGCCAGCATGCCGTACAAAGGAATAAGTTCAAATAGAGCAATGCATAGCATAATTGTATGGTTCGACTTCAGCCCGAACCGTCGCGAGACCACAGGCCAGAAAAAGGCACCAGCCATGCCGGACAGGGTTGCGGTGATGGACAACAAGCCGACGAGTGTAGTGCTCATCTTGAGCTCCGTGCGGGCGAACAGGATCGCCGTTCCGGATACCGTGGCCATAGCGTCGGATAGGAGAAACCACGCGGCTAGGAACACCAAGACCTCTCGCAGCTGCACCGCAATCTTAACCGTCTTCCACAAAGATTTCCAGGCAAATCCAACGAGTCGCAACCACACACGCCACCGTTTCACCTGCCCACCGGTATTCAAGGTATTTAGCGGGGGTCCTGGTCGAGCGCGCAGCCACTTTCGGGTGACCATCGTAAAGGAGAACCACCAGATGCCGACCAACAGCAGTACGAACCGCAGCGGAAGCGTCCCGGAAACCTTCGAAATCGACGTCTTGGAAAGCGCAAAGAGGAGAGAAATACTCAATATTTGCACGAGAACGGCAGCACAGTACCCAAGCCCGACGCCTTTGGATGAAATGCGTGTGGACAGCTGTAGCTCCGGCGAAGTGGGGCCTGATGATGCCCCAGAGCCCGCTTCTGCTGCTGGATGAGGCCCCGACTCTGCATCGCTTGCCGAGAAGGAGTCTCTGGGGTGGATGTATTCTCCATCGGGACTCATGGGATGCAACTCCTCAGCGGCCTTGGGAGTCTTTTCAATGGACGAATCGTTTGCAACCAGGACAGGTAAGAAAGAGTTGAGCACCACAAAAGATGAACCTAAACAGGTAACTCCGATGACAACCAAGAGGGCCCCAAGGACGAATACCGGCGGCGCAATAAAGACGAACAGCATACTCGTGGCGGACCCAATGAAACCGAATGCCAGAAGGAGTGTTTTACGGTTATTCTCTGAAGAGTAGCGATGTTGTCAGCAGTTTGGCTCGATAATTGTCAACACAGGGATAAGCCGTACCATAATCTGCTAAGGCGCTGAAGGATATCAAGGTCAATGCCTGGACGAGCACTGCCAACGAGAAGGTGTACATAGCGAAACTGGCGGTGTTGATGTTCAACCCCAATAGTCCTACGACACATTGATCGTTTTCGGCTCCATCGCGACGGAGCATAGCAGGGGCCGTGCCATTCGCAGATGTAGACGGTGAATCGGGACCGACACAGGGTAGATGGCTAGATTTAAAGGTTCCTCGTTCGCGTGCCAATTGTTCCAATGTGAGAGGCAGGAAAGAACCTATTGCGCCGATCTGATTAGCACCACTCGGACTAGAATGATAAGAACAAATACTCTGGAGTAGTTTGCCTTACCTACGCCACAGACAGCGAATACCTCCGCTGCAATTCCATACGCGTACCATCCCCAGATCTCGCGCTTGCTAGTCGGGGTTGTATCCTCGCCGGAGTACCGTGGAGGACGTTGTTGGAGCTCCGCGGGGGAGTCCGGCAATGGAGGGGCGACGGTCATAAGGATATGGGAGAGTGGAGAGTGACTGGGGAATAGAATGAGTCTACCCGGTTACACCATTGCAGGAACCGACCGACAGCAAGGCGAGAAAGACATGAAGCTCCAAATGGCGTCCGAATGGAACTGCTGGCTTTGTTGTAAGCGATTATTCATCCGAACGCGGAACTCTCGGAATTGCCTCGTTCCCTGATTGGCCCACCCGCAGATTTACAGCTGTCGACCAATCAGACAATCACATACCCCTGTTCTCGTGGTTGCATTCTACTGAGAGTACTACCTAGGTGGTACGCAGTAGTAGGTACCTTACTCCGTCAAACCGTAGTCGTAGTCATAGTGTTGAAAACCCATAAAGACCGATACCATGTCTCACCAGTGCTCTCCGAGTGATCCGTATACTTCAGAGTGCGACTGGGTCAGTTTCACTCCACTATCCACGAGCATCAAGGTCAAAGCGCCACTGACGTCATTTGACAGGCACGGATCCAGATACTAGTGAGATCTTGGCAATTGACTGTAAGGTAAACTAATCTCTTTTGCTGAGCTTGCTGAGCCTCTGATTGTCAAGTATCTGTTTAGTCACCAAAAGGGTACAAGAAGCAATACCCAGGTCAGAAACTTGATGGAACTACCGCGCCTCCGTCCTGTGTTGGTACCGGGACAAACTCTCAACTGATTATTTGTTCTATTCATACTCAAGAGACACAAGCCGGGGAAGGCCCCTGTGGGGAGCAAGATAATAAATATATGAATATAATCTGAAATAAAGAGCACGGTGGACAACGGACAAAAGACAATGAATTAGGCATAGATAAGTCTATTATTGAAACCCAATATGAATACAGTTTACGGTATCTCTATCCAAATAAACTTAGCCGATCACGAAAACGGCCATTCCAACCATCGCAATTGCAGACCAGACCGCGGCGTCGAGTGAGGGACCCATGCTAGAAGCAGTCGGGCTTGTGCCGGTCGTTGAAGTGGTATTCGGCAAAAGCACCGAGGGGCTATACGGTGGTGGAGTCCGATCATCAATCGTTCCATTCCAGCAGTAGCGCTGGAAACACCGACTACAAGCCTCAGGGACGGTAGTGCTGGTCCTATCAAACGAACGGCTGAGAATTGCACAACCGACGCAGGTTGTCCATTCGGAATCAAGGGTACCATTCGCCTGGGTGGCGACATTATAGCCATTCATAATGAATCCGTCACGGCGAGCAGAGCTGAAGTCCGTGTCCGTAAGGGTAGTCGTGGCATTATACGTGACAGGGTGGTTGGGCAAATAGACGACCAGCGGAGCGGGTGTGGTCAGGTTTGAGCTATTGCAGCCGAAGAATGTGGGGCGGGCATTGAGGCCCAGGTTTAGGATGGTATTTTGGTCTGGGATATATGGGAAGGAAGTGTTGGCTAGGTCGTCGAGGGTGCGCTCATACGTGCTGATGATGGCTGAGCCCGTCGGCCAAGACCCATCGGAACCGAGAGAATCAACGCCGAATATCACGTCCACGTTGCGGTTTCGCTGTATCAGCGGGTTGAATGGAATATTCTGGCCGCCTTCACCACCATCCACAATAGTGAGTCGCTTTTCTTGCGCAAAGGGTGACGAGTCCGTATTGTACTGGTAGAAGGGGTTAGGCTCATAGGCCGCGGATCCAGTCAATGTCGAGTTGGTCGAGTTGGTGGCGCTAATAACTCCTGCAATAACAAGTTTGAGAAATTGTGCCTCCTCGAGAGACTGCTTCGAGATTTCAGAGAGCATCGACTTTAGGGTTCCAACTATATCGGCGGATTTTCCCTGGTTCCAGATGTCGCTCGATGAGCCAGTGATAAAGCCGGCATTATCGAAGCCACGTACGCAGGTCTCGTTCTCTGGGACTATACCATTGATAAATCGAGTACCCAGGTATTCTAATGGTACGAAGCCATCGATAGAGCTATCATATGTGCCGAACTCCCAAGGCGACACCTCATAAATCGGCTCTGAATTGGTCGGTGCCTCAAGGGCTTTGTCAAAAGACTGCCCCTTGACCACTACTACTGGCAGTGGCATTTCAGCATCTTGAAATGCTTGACTCTTTGCAATAGAGGACCAGGTGTAGTCAACACCACCATGACTGGCATTGAAAAAGAAGTAGCCTTGCACCCGACCCCTGAAAGATTGGTTAGTCTTATTTCGTATAAGGAGAGTTTGAGTGCTTACCAAACGTCTGGGTCACTAGTCACAAAGCCAGCTGTCCGTTTTGTCTTGACCTGAGTTGTAATATTACCCCAGAACTCTTGTGGATCCATGTTTGGTGGCCCCGCGAAGATATTCCCGCTAGAAAAGTTCCAGAGGTTTCCCTGCTCCTGCAATGCAGAAACCGTCGTGAAATTGTTGATATAGACTGAGCCAAGCATCCAAGAGCCGCCACTAAGAGCAGAAAAATAGGTGGTCGACTGCAGTAAGCCACCCAGCTGGCCCTTGGCCATTGTACCTTCAGTGCGGCTGTCGAAGGCTTTGAAAGTACCAGCACCATTTAAAGCTGCTGTCAGCCCACCCCCTGATATGGCAAGGCCAATCGTGGGTATGTTGGTTAAGTCATGAGCGTGATTCTCGAGATAGCTCACTGCATCAAACCCATCAATCTGGACATGCCCGAAAAAGTCTTTTAGAGCTGGTAGAGTTTTGCCACGTCGAGCCTCAAGCCAAGACGTCTCTTCGGATGAGAGCGTTGCGCCGTTTCGGAGACTGGGCCGTGTCTTCGGGCATGTAACATGGACTGGGGCATATCCGTTCAGAGCATTAGGTAGTGCGCGAGGGTTGACATTCGTAACCTGATGTTGACTTGGGATAAGAGGACTCGCCGTTATGCCTGCATTGAAGATGACATTAGTCCCTCGACTTTTGGAAAGAAATATACCAACTGATGGAAATATTTGCAGTTTCCAGCGCGTACATACCAGGAAAGAGGGAAACGGCAACTGTGCCAAGGAGAAAGGTGTTCTTCATTCTTATGGCCAAAGCTGCTGGACTGTGGAGGGAGTTTAGAAAGAATGAGCCTGATAATGTAGGCTATATCGGTCTGTCTTTCGGGGAATGGCTTTCTATTTAAGCCTTTGGTATGTGTCAAACAAATTTGCTACGTCAGGGGTCATCAGAAAAATGAGACAATCCTGCACGCATTCTAAAAGCGTCTACAGATGTTTGCTCGAATCAACATGGATTTAACAGCCATGGGGCTCTATAGTTGACATAGTCTCTAAAGGTCTAGGAGCGGAACGTGATTGGCGATAAGACACCTAGTGGGCAACCAAATTGGAGGTGATGGAATGCTTAATCGCATAAGTAGATACTCCGAAGGCTCAACTCTGGTCCAACGCTAATCTAACTTACGCAATCCTCAAGGCTTAAACAGTTCTAAGGCCCAGAGTAAGCCCTAAGCACCGATCCGGTTACTGTATTAGGATAAGCGTGAATATTCAGTGGAAGACCTAACTAGAAGTGATTATCAGCCCCCACGCACCAAGTAAACACTGCCCTGTCCTCCTGTGGATCTCAGTGCGATTATCTTCCTCTTCACATTCCAGCAGCTGAGCTGGGGCTGAAATGAGACTGGGAGATGTACTGCTACTAGTCTCCTTTTCGTAGGAAGCTCCGACCCCGACAATATCACAATGCCAGCCCCCACAGATCACTTCACTGATCCAACGCATCTTTAAGCGAGAAGATCCCACCCTATAACTTCTCATTCCGAACTGCTTACCCCTTTAGGTTACTACCATGGTATACAGAGGAAAGCCCAGCCCAGGGTGTGCCCTATGCCGGAAGCGGCGGCTAAAAGTACGTGGACGCTCCTCCACGCTGAACCATGACTGATTGACCAATGATAGTGTGACCAGAGGCAGCCTTCATGCTCCCAATGTTTGCGGATAAAGAAAGAATGCCCCGGGTACCAAGATCCCCGAGCCCTTCGTATCTATGATCAGACGACAGTCGTTACTGCCAAAGCCCTGGCCCGGGCTGCCGTTACCCGAAAGGCGGCTCAGTCCCCAACTTCTGAGAGTTCGAAGACACCGCCGTTAAGTTATTTATCTACCCCGATCCAGGAGCAGGCTATGTCTCATATCTTCAAGTTTTATGTTGGCACAAGCCAGAATCGGGGCGTACTCCCCTATTTGTCGGATCTGTTGAACGCTGATCCCTCTGGTGCACTTCAAGCCACAGTCAAAGCTGTAGGACTGGCATGTATGGCAGGAATTCATCATTTACCTGGGCTGAGGCGATTGGCGGCAGAGGAATACAGCAAAGCCTTGCAGGCGACCAATTTGAATCTGCAGGACACAGCCTCGGCTACATCCGACTCCACTTTGGGAGCTGTGGTAACACTGAGCTTGTACGAGGTAATGTGTCTGAGTAGAATGTTGGTTTGGGAGCGGCTTTTTAATCAGCGGGAAAACAGATTATCTCAGGGCATGAATCACAAATGATGGACGCTTGGCTCAATCATGCCCGGGGAGCGATAAAGCTCCTTGAGCTACGAGGCGTGAAGCAATTCGAATCACCAACTGGGTTAGGGCTGTTTAACAGTGCACGATTACAAATTGTTAGCTATTCCTCGTTTTGACTGCTGATATCTGGGTTTTAACATGTCAATTTCAGGCTATGATGAACAAATTCTTCAGGACGACGTGTTATAGCTCATCAACAATAACTGCATTATCAAATAATGCAAGAACCCTCTATGATACTAATTCTCAAGCGATTGATGATTTTTACAATATTCTAATTATGTTAAATGATCTCTCGATAAGGATAAAGGAAGCATACAAAAATGATGGCTTTCGTGGAAACATCGCACCGTTAATTGCGCAAGCTCTCCGCCTCGATGCTGATATGGTATCATGGGCGAGTTCTCTGGGTCTAGCCTGGCAGTTTACAGTGGCCAGTAACTCACCGTCTTTTTCTAACGGCGGCATACCCGTCTGCAGCTATGATAAGGTATATCATGTATACCCGAGTATCAACGTCGCAGTGCTTTGGAACCACTATCGCCAAGCACGGATCGTTCTTCATGAGATGATCCGAACGATGTGTCTCAGGGCGTCTGAGCGACAGGCAATGCCTCAGTCCCAACAAATAATGCTCAATTCTAGCGCCATCAATAAGCAATTAGTGAAGGACGTCTGCGATAGCGTCCCTCACTTCTTTACATCGGGTGAAGCTGGTTTTGGGGGTGTCGCTCGATTGCCATGGCCACTGTTCGTTGCTGCTGACTGTACGGATATATCGTCTAACACGAAGGACTGGATTGCGCAAATACTCGATATTATTGCAACCTCCGCGGGTGTACAGCAAGCGCGGATCTTGTCACATCTTATCAAACAGGGGCATCACGGTTTCAATTTGATTCCTGGCAAATGTAAACAATAAATTGAAACATAGAAAGCGGCAAAAAACATAATAAAACATGCCCTTGCAATCTCAAAATCTCATATGGTGGTGTGTCATTTGAAACGAAGTAACTTAGATTTCATTGTACAATAACTACAAGATCTCCCTATGTATCCCAAAATCCCAACCCTCAAATCCCTCTTTCTCATTAAATGCGCCATTATTCTGAGACCCAAGAAACTTAATCCATAGTCAAAAGTATATAAGTAAAGATTAAGAGTAACATAGCTAAAAATAACACTAATGGATATCATTTAATATTAAAAAGGACATATATACGTATAACCTATACAATAAGAAGACTAATGTATAGTAGAGGATTGTTATAGGCTTCCCGTTCTAGGTAGAGGATTTCCATACCCATGGCACTTAACACCCTAAATGAAACCTTCCATCGTGCAACCAGTAAGGTCTCAGTATCAGGTCACCGCGCGAAGTCTGCAGACAACATCCCATTGATGGGAATAGACCGGGCGAGAACCCTGTCAAGTGACAATAAACCCAACCTTTGACTTCCGGCTCGTATTATGTCGGTGGCAAGAGTCTTGCGTCATGTCGCGTCGCCGAAACACTCTTAAATAAACGTGCTCTCCCTATTTCTCTAAAGCTTCACATATACTCTACGTGTACTTGAGAGACATGTAACAGCAGATACAAGACCTCAAACATGGCAGTAACTATCCCGGGTGGACGAACGCCCATGCGGTAAGTGAACAGCTACAAAAACTCATGATAGGCTGAAAGTGGTGATATGCTTTGTCTTGGAAGATACTCATTTGTGTCTGCGCTGATTAGGCCCCAAAACCCAGCCGCCTTTAGCGTTGTGGCCGGAGCAGCTGCGGCGTGGATGGCCTTTAGATGGTACTCGCCGTCGAAACCGGAGCCGAAATCACTCCCTTTTCCATATGAAGATGCCGAGGACGTTATACAGTCCAAGCCAAAGAAGAAAGGCCCAACCAGAATTCCTTAAAGGATGGAAAGTGGTTGATTGTTAAATTCGGAATCTAGTCTTCAGTGTGTTTGGTCTGCATTTATCTACGCAGATATATTGTGCGAATCTGTGTTTCTCATATATGGCTCTGAAAATGCAATGTCGTTCTTTTCATTACTTAATAATTACCCATAGCCTATACTAGGCCGTCATTCTGAATCTGAATTTGACAACGTGACTGGATATAACTCCCTGCGAAGTAACACTGATGCTTATAAAAGATCTATAATAGGTAAATTACCACTATCACCGAAGCAGTTAGGTGGCTATCTATCTAGTTAAATAATAAGCTGACCTATATTTAATATTTAGACCATATAGGTCTCTAGTTCGAGGAATCAGTTCTTATTATACCATTACATCGATCTTCTGGAAGTACTAAATTTTTAAAAGTGGTTCATGAATCATGCTAGGAAAAGAAAACACCATAGAACCGTTGAGCCGAGTGCCAAGAAAATAAAATAGTACCTAGTTAGCCGCCTACCTACACCATCGTCCGAACCCAGTACAAGTCAGCCTCTTCTTTAACATCATCTTATTCGTCCGTCACGAAAAAAAATGTTACCCAGAGGCGTGAGCAAGGTATCCTTACATCCGCCACGCTTTTCGTCCATTTTTGCGGCAATTGAGCCGTCCCCGTAAACCTCTATACCCTCGACGCGTTCGTGTTGTCGCTGAGTCTGTACCAATTCTCCCCTCTTGCGGATCACAACTGTTCGCTCACAAAATGACTACCGCAAGCCAGCGGAAGCTTCCCCCCAAAGCGGAACACGAAGACTTTTTTCAATACACAAGTGGGCGCTGGCTGTGGGATGAGGAGCAGCAGTTGAATGATAGGTACAAACCCTTTGATCCTGTCGCCCTATAGAATATAGCAGCTGAGAGCGCGGGTTCAAACAACTGCGTGTCAATGCGAAAGTTAGCAGAAGGAGGGTATAACAAGGTGTTTCGTCTTATTACGGATGATGGAAAAATAGTCATAGCACGTAGTCCCAATCAGAATGCTGGCGCTCCGTTTTAGACCACTGCATCGGAAGCTGCGACGATGGAAATTGTGAGAACGCCTTCCAACTACTGATTGAGAAATTCATTGAAACCGGGCTTTTGAGAGAGAGACTCAGTGGGTAACGAAGACACGACCATAAACTGTGGATGCTGGATATTTTAGGAAGCTACACTAACCGTAGATTCATTTTGGCTGTTAAAGCTACACAGAACCTTTCCTGCGATGGGCCTATAAGGTTATTTCTTTGGCAACATGAGATTGAATTCCGACAAAGATCCACCATACAGCTTTAAGTGGTGTCACGTGGGCTACAGAACTACTGCATTAGGCAGAAAAAAGGGATTAATTAAGTGACCTAAGTAGTCTACTTGCATGTACCAATACTTGGCCTTTTTACACACACCAAACAAAAAGAAGAGAGAAGAAACGTAAAGGGGGAATTGGCAAGGCAAGAGGAGTGGACGATCAGCAACACAGCGCTTGGCAAAATGACCACAGCGCTTACATTCAACCACTGCAATGCAGCCTTATTGTTGATTTGTTACACAATTTAGGATTTAGGTTGACTTGAAATTCGCAGTTAGGCTTTTAGTATCCTTGCACCTGGTGTATTCCCACATCGAGAATGCACTGAACACCAACATTGTTTATCTCGTGAGGCTCAGGTTGGATGACAGAATCGGCGTTTTTCTTGACTCAAAACAAGCTACACCATGATGCGAAGAACATACCAATATTAGCGCCATAACAAGACCAATACTTGGGGATTGGTAGGAACCAATGGCTACGATGGCCGACGTGGTGTCGTGGTTTGGGGACATATCAGCCTTGCCGCCAGTCGGGCACCACAATCACAGCCAAGAACGAGCAGGGGTAGTCCCAGGCTGTTGCAATGGCGTTGCAATTTGAATCACCGCTAATGCTACCACCTTCAATAATAATAGTATCACATGCATTGCGCAGCGGGGCGCTAATAGAGGCTGTCAGCCTCGTCGCTTCTAGCTGTGCTCCACCACGGCGCTTACGATGGTTGCTGGTAGGAATATATCTTGTTCTCGATGGGGATGGTCTTCTCCATGGGTTAGACAACCAGAGGATAAGCAATGGAGCATAAGCTAAGCACAGGTGAGCCCAATGCTCTCGATAAAACAGGATTATGTCTACTATCGCTGGATGGTGGTGGTGTGCGAGGGCTTTCAACCCTCTATATCTTGAAGCATCTCATGGCTCGATTGAGCCATGAACGACCGGAACTCGGTCAAGTCAAGCCTTGCGAGATATTCGATCTCATCGGTGGCACGAGTACTGGAGGCCTTATTGCGATCATGCTTGGCCGCCTGAAAATGAGCGTTGACGAGTGTATCGATACGTACGTGAAGTTGATCAAAACGGTTTTCGAGAAAAAGTCCCGATGGCCCATAAATTTCTCCGGTGACATCAGGTCGCGATTTGACGCAGCGAAGCTAGAAAGTGCTATCAAAGACGTTGTGACCAGCCATGGAGCAAAGGAGACCGATCTTTTCAACGACGGATGCGACCGCGGCTGTCGTGTGTGAGTATATGACCCCATCGATAATGTGGGTTAATTCTTATGTGACTAGTTTTGTTTGTACTACATCGCACGAGACAAAAGATATTGTACGTCTTCGAGACTACAGTTTGCCGTCTAAGGATAACATTCCTGCCACCATCTGCCAGGCTGCACTTGCCACGTCAGCTGCTACAACATTTTTCGATCCTGTCTACATCGGCACACGAAAGTTTGTTGATGGTGCTCTAGGCTCAAACAACCCTGTGAACGAAGTGGAAGGAGAAGCGGCAGACATATGGTGTTCTGGTACTGGTGATTTAAAGCCGCTCGTGAAATGCTTCGTCTCCATTGGGACAGGGGATCCCGGAATAGCTGGTATTGAGGATAAGGCAGTCAAGTTCCTTTCTAAAACATTGGTCAGTATTGCGACCGAGACTAGGATAACAGAACAGAAGTTCATAGCAAGATGGGCCAAACACTACGACGATAAGCGGTACTTCCGTTTCAATGTTGAGCAGGGATTGCAGGGAATTGGTCTGGAAGAATACCGGAAGCAGGGAACTATAGAAGCAGCAACGCATCGATATCTGGATCACCAGACTCAGGTGTTCCGGGTGCGAGATTGCATCCAGAACTTGAAGCTCAAACGGGGTGGGTATATTGAAATCTTTGCATAGGATACAATGAACGCATAGCTAATCCGGACTAGGTATGGCGATGTCCAACATCTCAAGGATCCTCGGCGTACGTATACACCATGAACTTAAAGATCTAACATCATATTCACATTGTACAGGGAAACCACATTCCACCTTTAACACAGCTCCATATACGTATGACTCTTGTGGGCCGTTAATGTGCTAATGCTAATTTTCGTACAGCGTCAAGAACCAGAGCACCCTGGATCGTCCCTTTCCGACGGAATCCGCTTTTCGTCAGTCGCTCAGCGGAAATCGCCATGGTTGATGATATTCTCGGCGGTGACAGTGCATTTTCCCAGGTTGCGATTGTTGGGCTTGGGGGCGTTGGGAAAACGCAAATTGCGCTTGAATACGCGCATATCCTGCGAGAACGACATCCAGACTGCGCAATATTTTGGATGCCAGTCACTAACATGGAGAGCATGCTGGAGGCATATTTGCAAATTGCAAAAGAGCTGCAAATCTCTAATGTCGGAAATGATATCAAAGGCATTCAGAATATAGTCCAACATCGACTAAGTCAAGAAAACTCCGGTAAATGGCTGCTGGTACTAGACAATGCTGACGACATCTCCTTTTGGGCTGATAAAACCAAAGATATGGCTGGTTCTAGCCTGCCAAGGAGCAAGCATGGATCTATCCTTTTCACAACCCGAAGCCACAAAACAGCGGTTCAGTTAGTAGGGAGAAATATAGTCACGGTGAACGCGATGGATAACGCACTAGCCAAGAACCTTCTCGGAAATACTTTGATCGACCGGAGCCTGTTAGCTGACGAACGCGCTACCTCCAATTTGCTTCAGAACCTTACATACCTGCCGCTCGCAATTGTCCAGGCAGCCGCATTCATCAACAGGAATCAAATGACGCTCTCCGAGTATATATCGCTCCATGATAGCACTGAGGAGAGTACTATCGACATCCTTAGTCAAAATTTCGAAGACGAAGGTAGATACGGGAACGGAAAGAACTCCGTTGCGGCAACATGGCTCATATCCTTCGAGCAGATCCAGGCTTCTGACACATTAGCAGCGGAGTATTTGTCACTTATGGCCTGTGTTGACTCAAAGAACATCCCGCGGTTATTCCTTTCTCTTACACAGTCGGCAGCAGAATCTGCCAATGCTATTGGGACTTTGAAGGCTTTCGCATTTATTGCAAATCATCAAAACAATCGACTCTTTGACCTTCATCGCCTTGTGCACCTGGCGATGCGTAATTGGCTACGCATGCAGGGCACCCTCGAAAAGTGGACAAATCGGGCTCTGAGTCACCTGCAATCGCTGTTCCCATGGCCCGGCGAAGAGAACCAGCTCCTATGGAGGCCATTACTACCACATACTCGGTATATCCTGCAGTCATTGGCATGGGATAACCCAACTAGTACAGCAATATATCTGTTGTACGTCTTTGGATATTGTGCATTAAGGGATGGGAGATACACAGAAGCTGAGAGGGCTTTCAGCACGGCTACAGGTTCTAATAGAACTATGCTTGGTATAGAACATCCTAAGACACTTGAAAGCGAGGCAGCTCTGGTACAAGCATACGTCAAGCAAGGGCAATGGAACAAAGCTGAAAATCTGATTATACAAATATCACCCAGTCTCAGAAAGGTCTTCGGTAACGAGCATTTGGTGACATTGAAAGCCATGGGAGCTCTTGTTACGATATACTGCTACCAAGAACGGTGGGAAGAAGCGCGTAGGCTGGAACTACAAACCCTGAAAGCTTACGAGAGCGTGTTAGGTGCAGAGCATCAGGAAACCTTGGTGTGTAAGCGCTCGCTAGCATGGATATATTGCGGGACTGGCAAACACATTCGCTCCAAACAGCTAAATTTGCAAATATTGAAGGGTCAGAGAACGGCACTTGAGATGGAGCACCCATCTACACTCAGCACCACCCGCAACCTGGTAAATGATTACATATCGCTCGGGCTTCTGAGATAGGCAGAAGCGCTTCAGACGCAAGCAGTGGAGACTTCCAAGAGAGTCCTTGGAGCAGAGCATCCTGACACATTAGATGCCATCGGTATGCTGGCCACAATTTATAGCGTCACAGGTCGCCTCGAATCGGCCGAGAAGCTGGAGATCCAGGTTTTAAAGACCTACCGAGAGGTTCTCGGTACGGAGCACCCTTATACTTTATGGGCTATGTCGCCCTGGCCTACACCTGGTGGAGAATGGGTCGATATGCTGAGGCGACTGATCTATTGGAGAAGTGCCTACTCTTAGAAACGAAAGTTCTAGGTTTTGACCACACCAACACGATAAAACATGGTCGTAGATTACGCAGATGGCAGTTATACCAGCAAATGATGAGTGGATGCACTCCAAGCTAGTCGACAAATACTCCTGGAACGCTATCATCCATAGGAAACCTGTTTTATCTAACCATACTTTTCTCTCTCTGGCCTGATACAATGTTTTCCTTCCATTTACTTTGTTCGCTATTATCGTACAGGTGGGTAGGATAATAATATAATGAGCTTTCTAGGATTTGGCATACCCTTTGACCACAGGACTATTTATTTCTTATATCCTTTCGTCCCTGAAGCCCTTTGTCAACCCTGGGAGCATTTGTACGGATTCGTCCATAAAGACCAGCTTTTTGTACGATGATTCAGTGCTACTGATTCCCTCTTTTTTATGTTTTCTTCTTTCCACTGTCCGCTTATCTTTCCACATCTATGATCCTGACCCCGTATAAACCAGTATATAGAGATATATGATACGAACTATCAATGTAGCTTGGTATCAACTCCTTGTACGGAGTAGATAAGTAAGTTTACTCATTAGGGCTATTGATTCGTAATGATAATCAATACCCGATCGGGTCTCCGCTCTCATAGCCGAAGAGTGGATCCATAACGCGATCAAAGATCAATCAAATGTGATATTTATAGACTAATGAATCGGTGCACGAACATGGCTTCAACAAATTTTCCTTCTCTTATCACTTCCCCGCAGTTTCTTCTCCTTTGTATCTCTGCCACGTAGAAAAGAATTAACCACCATACACTCTGATCGGGCTAAGGACCTATATAAATCTGCCATGCACTCAACTACCCGTCAATATGACTCGCTCGATGGGGCATCGAGAACAGAAGCCGACGTTGAGCCCGCCCTACCACATGAGGAACAACCCCTGCTATCTTCAGAGGAAATCTGGAAACCACCAAAGGGCTTCCTCTGGATCCAGATTGGTATGGATCACTGCGAGCCTAAAGCACCAGATCGCTAATGATTTTCCCAGCGATTATGTCCAACGTTTTCCTCTCTGGCTTCGACGGCACTATTACCGCTTCAACTTATGCCGTCATCAGTTCGGAATTTAACGCTGCCAACACCGCCTCATGGCTTACCACATCGTACTTGATTACTAGTACTGCTTTTCAACCTCTTTATGGTCGCTTTTCCGATATCTTTGGACGGCGTACCTCCTTCTTTACGGCAACCCTCACCTTCATGGTCGGTTGTATTGGCTGCGGCATTGCCAAGGATATCGTACTTCTCAATTTGATGAGAGCATTGACTGGAATCGGTGGGGGTGGTCTGATGACTATGGGTATGATGGACTCGTGTATTCGTTAAACAATATTGAACACTAATATCGTTCAGCCACCATTGTCAATTCAGATCTGATCCCATTCCGTCGTCGTGGCATGTACCAGGCCCTCCAAAATGTTATGCACGGTTTCGGTTCTATCTGTGGCGCATCCCTTGGAGGCTCAATTGTTGACACTATCGGGTGGCGATGGTGCTTTCTTATGCAGGCTCCCGTTGGACTGCTCGCACTAATCACAGGTCATCTGGTAATTCATCTTCCCAGGAAAGCCGATCTTATCGAACCGGGTCAGGGCTTCAGAGCCATCTGGCGACGAATCGATCTCTCTGGTGCATGCGTTCTTATTCTAGGCCTCTCCAGTCAGTTGGTTGGATTAAGCTTGGGCGGAAACGATTTGCCCTGGTCTAACCTATGGGTGATTCTTTCACTCGTTTCAAGTGTGATCCTTTTAGGTGCTTTCGTGGTTATTGAAACAAAGACGTCCGCGATCCCGCTGATTCCTCCGAGAATGCTGCAAGGTCTCCTACCTATTGCTACCCAAGTCGCTAATGTCTGTGTCGGAATGGCGGCATATGCAGTATGTAGTGTTGCGCCGTTCTCTCAATTTGAGCTAACACTAGTAGTTTCTCTTTACGCTCCCATTGCTATTCCAAGTCATTCTCTTGGATTCTGCCGCGAAGGCTGGTGCGAGACTGGCGATCCCGTCGCTCGCGACCCCAGTGGGTGGCGTTATCTCCGGCATTGTCATGTCCCGCTGGGGAAAGCTCGCCCAACTTGTACGTGCGGGCGCTTTGCTGATGTGCATCGGAAACGTATTGGTGATGTCACTGCAATTCAACGACGCTGGCTGGAAGTACTTCACGTACGTAATTCCAGCAAGCCTGGGGCAGGGTATCGTGTACCCTGGGATTCTGTTCACATTCCTTGCCGCATTCGACCATTCTGGTACGCACAATATAGCGAAGCATGTCTAGGCGGGTTGTTACGCTAACAATTCACAGACCACGCTGTGTCGGCATCCACGGTCTACCTGGTGCGCTCGCTTGGCACCGTTTGGGGCGTGGCGATCACATCCACGATTATACAAAATACATTGCGCTCAGGCCTCGCTGAGGCCTTGAGTGGAGTACCAGACAAATGGAAAGTAACATCCCTTTCGTTGCGAGTAGCACCTAGTTGAGCGATAACTGATCACTTTCGGCACAATTCTAGATTATTGATGATATTCGACACTCGGTGTCGGCTATACATGATCTACCTCCCGACATTCAAATGGCCGCCAGACTAGTATATTACCGGGGCATCCGACTGTCCTTTATGGCTTCGGCTTGCTTTGGGTTTGTCGCTACTATCGCAGCACTTTTCACTAAGGGTAAAGGGCTACACCGTGCGAATAGTGTATAAGCCGATATCAGAGGGCCAGTTGCATAGGGCTAGCCACCCTAGAATCTTGAGCTCAATATAGGAGGTGGAAATCGGAAAGGTAGGCTCGAAAGAGGTAGACAGACGGAGCGGGATTTGATGAGAATGGGCAGGAAGACGGTATCGGAATTAGTTCCATACCGGAGACATAATAGGCGTGAAGGGCAGCCTTATCAACAGAAAGCCTACCAGCAATAGAACCAAAGGTGCAATGAACTTTATGGCAAATTAGCCTTATCAGAACTTCCTGCCAGTCATTGGTGATTGCAACTGTACTTTGTTGATAGCAACATTACCTTGGGTATATTCAACGTCGCATCTATTCCGCAATGCGGATAAATCCCACTCTCAGGGAGCTGAACAGGTCCAATGGACAAACGTGAAGTATATACTAATGAACCTTATCCGGGGTTAGGAAATGCGGGGAAGCATCAAGTAGGGCAAGATATCCTGGCTACGCTACTCAGTTGCAGAGCTTCTTAAACGTCGGTCGGCTATCAATTCCGCCGTCATTCCGCTATAGTCATGCATTTAGGGGGACCCGAAAACACTTCTTCCTGTCAAAGTGCAAGATAATGTAGTGTTGATATACCGGGCTCGGAATTCGATAAGCGTTCCGACTATCGCTCACTATCTTGATAGGGTATGATATCGTTACTAACGTATGGCCAGAAACCCTAAAGTAGACTCCATCAATCGTCTGTCCCATTGGCCTAGCGTTGACAATATGGGAGAAATGTAATGACATATAACTGCACTTTAAAACGATTCTCGTACTTAATCATCTCACTTCACAGAACAGTATGAGTAAACAAGACCTCAAACCCAACCATGACCTCTCCACTCCCTCTATCGAACTTTCCAACGGCCAAGTCGCCGTAACAGGCCTCCCCAATGCGCCAATGAAACAGAACTTTAGCATACTCAGCATCATCGCGGTAGGTTACAATATCTCCAACAGCTGGGTTGCCATCGCGGCCAGTTTCGCCATCGCCATCCAGTCCGGCGGGGCTGTGACCTTGCTCTATGGGATCATTCTCGTTTCCGCCGCTATGCTCTGTACAGGCCTGACACTTGCTGAACTTGCAAGTGTCTACCCCACTGCAGGTGGGCAATATCATTTCACCTCGATCTTGGCTACAAGTCGTTGGAGTCGCAGTTTATCATATTCCAGTGGGCTGGCAGCCGTATTCTCATGGATTACGCTGAGTGCATCTATTGCATTATCGTCGGCTAATGTGCTCATGGCCATCATAATCCGGTGGCGGCCGGAATATCAACCTGAAACATGGCACTATTTCCTTGTGTATCAAGCGATGAATATTGTTATGGTTCTTTATAACATATTCCTCACGAACAAGACGCTGTGGGTCTATAATCTTGGTTGTAGGTGCTCAATGTCTATCTTCTCACACGACCTACTGAATGAAGAAGGCTAACGGATGTAGTCCTCCTTTCAATATCCACTTTTCTCGCCATAACAGTTACCTGCCCCGCTCGCTCCTCCATCCAAATCGACTCTGCACACGTCTGGACACAATTTGCCAATGGATCTGGCGGCTGGCCAGATGGTATCTCCTTCTTGACGGGTCTTTCCACCCCTCAATTCATGCTTTCTGGTCTCGACGCAACGCTCCATCTCGCTGAAGAATGTCTTCAACCGGAACGCATTGTTCCCAAAGCAGTTATTGTAACTGTATTCGTGGGGTTCTTGACCGCATTTCCCTTCTCTGTCGTCATAATCTACAGTTTCAAGGATGTGGAGCTCTCCCTCACAACTCCAACTGGGTGCGTCAGCGTCTAACTCCCTCCAAGTTCACCACAGTTGAGGGCTAGTCTAACGTGAGCCAACAAAAACCAGGTTTCCTATCTACTTTATTTGGGAAAAGGCCACACATTCCCCAGCAGCCGCGACAATCTTCATGGCCTGCATGCTCACTATATCCTGTGTAGCCCTAAACGCAGTACACCAAACCTCATCCCGACTAACATGGTCTTTTGCCCGAGACGAAGCACTTTTCTACTCGCATAAGTTAGCCTCTGTTAGCCCTACACTCGGGGTACCTGTATACGCGATCCTTCTTGATGGACTATGCGTTCTGCTACTGGGAGTTGTTTATGTTGCATCTTCCAACGGTAAGACAACTCTACCCTTGTCAAACCCGTGCATAGGTTGTACTGTGCCTTGCGTGTTAATATATCATTCAATAGCATTCAACGCCTTCATAAGCACTACAGTTGTCGTCGCGCAAATATCTTACGCCATCCCCTCCGCGCTTCTTCTGTACCGTCGTCGCTCGTCGGATTACCTCCCTCCATCGAGGCCATTCAAACTAATGAATGCAATTGGTTACATTGTCAACATCACAACGATTGTGTGGGCTGTTGTGTTGACTATCTTTTTCTCGTTTCCAACTGTCTTACCAGCTACAGGTGGGAATATGAGTACGTTGCGTTCCCTTGAGATACCTTTTCTGCTTTTCTGCTTTTAACGGGCAATACATACTAACTGGTACTCCAGACTACACTTCCGTGGTGCTTGTTGCAATGCTAGTTCTTGGGGTCGTAAACTGGTTTGCATATGCACGGAGGCATTATCATGGGCCGAGATTAGAACTATGAGACTTTTACTTTTCTACTTATTCTCTATGTGCTCGTCTTCCTTTTATCTCCCCATGACACTGGTTAGTCCCAGTCTATTACTACAATACTCCGTATAGATAAAGCTACTAGCCACAATTCAGGCAGTATTGTTATGATCTAGGCCCCTTCCATTGATCACATTGCTTCGGTTCCGTAAACTCATTGGTGTATACTTGCTACCTCTGGGTGCATTTACTTTGTAGTCGTTTTACCGCATTGCTACTGTGCTAATTTAGGGAATAGAAGTCTGTAACGTAACCAAGTATACATGGCATGGCTTCCAAGCCACGTGAATGACGCCGCTTTATTGGTCACTGTTTCTACCTCGGGCAGATCAGTCGTTCGTAGCGACTTAATCATGAGCTTCTTTTCATAGCCTCTTACATGTGCGCGTTTGAGTTGTCTACTAAATAAATCCCCAGGCAACCACATACTCAATTTAGAAGCCCTTATACAGTCTGGAACCTACGTAGGGCAATGTGCAAGAAGTTCTAGAACTCGTTAAGAATTCTGCAAGAGTGCTGCGCCTTCTGACAGATGTCATTGAAACTGGTTCTGGCATCAACTAGCCACTCTTTGATTAAAAATGACACGATGGCTGTGGCTTGCGCGCTCCGCGGTCTCCTATCAGGGTGAAGGAGATGCGGAAGTTGAAACGAAGGTGGCGCATGCAGACCAATGAGAAGGCCATTGGGTGTTCGTTAACCAATGGGAGTGTGTAACTAGAGGGGGTGGGGGGAGAAAGGGACTTGGGTCCGGTCACTCTCTTCCGACGGGTCCCTGTAGGGCTGTGGCTGTGGTAAGGGGGCTGTGTAAGAGCTACGAGTAGTACGGAGTATAGGCTCGTAACTCAGCTCATTATGGTGAATTATATTGTCTGACGGGTTTGTGCTACGAACTCTCTCAATTACCGAGGATTGTTGTTGACTCGGAAATACTACCTAGGTAGGTAGCAACCAACAAAGGGAGCAATGGCCAGTCAGTACGGCCAGGATTCGCACCAGCCCCAATGCGGAATGCCGGGAAAAGAGGTGACGATAGTTTGAGGACAAGGCTATCAGGGTGGAAATATCGAATTCTTCTTAGTGGGTATACTAAAATTGCTTAGTGCTAAGAATCTTTCTTGGGTGAGAATTGCAAAGAAATTCTGGAAATTCGAATTTGGATTGGATTCCATCTTTAAGAGTGCAATCTGAGCCCACCGGACGATCGGCTTCTCCTCTTTTTCAAGCCCATTCCCTATTTTGAATTTCTCCGCTTCGGACCTGTCCTCTGCTTTTCTCCCCCGTTGGTTATTAATTCCACTTTTTTACTCTCTCTTTCCTTCCCCCCCCCTTCAAGTTCTTGTCTCTTGTTCGACCCGTTCGTACTTGGCATTTCTTAGGTACCCTCTACCCCCTTTCATTGGCCCTTACTGTGCCCACGAGAGCCTCTTTTCCCCATCATCTTAATTTTCTTCTTCAACCGATTCCATCATTTGAAGCTTGGTTTGATCAGTCCATACTGACCGGCGTAATAATCGTTCTGCCCACAGATATCTATCATCATGAGTTACCAACAACAGCCCCCCTATCCTCCCCAGCCTGCGTAAGTACTCCAATGCTACCCGGTTTTTCTTATCCGTGTTTGCGACCGTGTTTGCGACCGGCTTTGCGATGTTTGCCCAGGTAGTGTCGGAGGCTATAGTGTCGCAGTTGGCCAAGGCGCGGTTTTGAGGGTCTTGTCCGATGTCATCCGTTGGTTTTCCCTTGGAGTGGGCGGACCAGGCGGAGGAGACTCGACACCTGTCCCTTCAAAGTCCTTTACAATTCATTCTGACTCCCGTCCTCTGTGCAGCTACGGACCTCCTCCTGGTAACTACGGACCTCCTCAGGGTGGCTACCCTCCCCAGCAGCCGTACGGTGGTTACCCTCCTCAGGGTCCTCCTCCTGGACAATACGCACCTCAACCCCCCGTAAGTTGCGGCTCTGGACCACCTCTCAGGCCGACCAGCTAACGATCATGTAACAGATGGGATACCCGCAGCAACCACCTCCACCACAGGAGAAAAAGAGTCACGGCTGCCTTGGTGCCTGGTGAGTACTCCGTCTTCTCCGGGATCTGCGCGTGCCTGGTGCTAATCCTCATGTTCCATTCAGCTTGGCCACCCTTTGTTGTTGTTTCCTGTGCGAAGAGAGCTGCGAATGCTGTATGGAATGTATCGAATGCTGCGAAATGTGCTAAAGCTTCACGACCCGTATATGACCTCGATGATACGATAATACCTACCCATCGCGTGCAGGATAGCCGGTTAGGGTGAGGGCGCCGGGAGGCGCTGAAACTGCCGCGATTCGGCGTACAGCCCTTTTCGCTTATTTCGCTTTCCTTTGCCCGGTCGATCTGTCCTCCAAACGCCGTGGACCGTACCGATTTTTATCAATCATGTTTACTTGGGAATAATGGCTTCCGAGACAAGGAGGTGCTGGATTGGGGAAGATATCTGCTTTAGCTGGATGGCGCTTTCAGTTCGATAGCCTTTTCATTTCTCGTGGATCTTGTTTTTGTTTCCTTCTTGCGTCGGTGTTTCTTCGAAGGGAGCATTGTTTTACGATCGATTGTCTCCGTGGATCGTGGAGTGCAATTTCATCTGCAGTACGGAGATAGTCTTCAATTGGACCTTTGTTTCTTCTTTTTACTATATCTTCCCATCAGAAATCTGGCGCCCACCAGCTTTGAAGGATGACCGTAGACGACACTATGCAAAGGGTCAAAATGTTATGATATATGAAGATCAGAGGCACCGAGAGATTCAAAATTAGGGATGTCAGGGGCATCCGATTGCCCACTCGCACATCAACCTCAGCCTCTCATCTTGCCGTTCAGTTAGTACAGTCTCACCTTCGTCTATCATGATAGCGAACTGGTAAGGGGTTTTAACGAGCCATTCGATCAATTATTAGGAGCGACACCTGTGTATGCCGGTGAGCGAACGTTTCCTCGATTATAGGTAGAGGACCTTGGGATGCAAAAGGCGGACATGATCTTCTTCACGAGGCAAGCTCGATCCCAATACCCGTGGTTGTTAGGGGAGTCAATCTCTGAGATTGGTCGCAACTGGAAGGATATCGCGCATGGGTTCTCCAAGGCGAAGTGAATGTGATTATCAGCAACACATCATAGGACTGACCTTGCCAATATCCTCAGGCACACTTAAACTCGATGACAAAATCAACCACCGCCTTGTCTGAGGTCTCCAGATGCGCCGGAAAAGAGTGGTGCTGTGTTAAATAGCCCGGATAAATGTCGGCAGAACCGCCAGGCATCAACATTAATTCGCTGCAACCCTGGTGGTACTAATAGCCTGCGGTTGAAGACGGAAAAATAATCTCCGTGCAATGCAGCATCCTATGCCCAGTTTTAGGCACAAGTGAGACGATCACGGCAACGATGATTTCTATGATGCGGGGGAACTCCGCATTTTTATCCCCTGCTGAATACATCATTCTCGAGTCCAATGTACCGCGGAGAGGTTTTCTTTGATTACAGTCATGAAGCTGAGAATATGTGATACTATGTATCCAGGATTAAACATGCTATTGACTTCACAGGCCCTGGAGCCTAGACCTTTGACGATGCATGTCGTCTCGATGGTCATACGCTATCATGCAATTTGACAAAACGTTAAACCATCGTCGTGCATGAAGTTATGACTTCATTTTCTACCTGCATACCCCTCAAGGACTTTTACCAGAAGCGGAAGTCTTGTTCCTCAATTCCTCAATGTCATGGTCTACTCCACAGGAAATGCTGCCCCTTGGCGACAGACTCTCTTCGGCATGTCTGCGATTGCCGGAAAACGGTCCTTGTCGTGGGGTGGGCTCCGCTGGGGTCGGGGATAGCAATCACATATAAATTGTCTGGGGTTCACCGGCCGGGGTCAAGTTCTGGACGGGAATAAGATCGGCAGAGTGCATCGTAGGGGAGAGCCACTATGCTACGCAAATGTTTCCTTCTGCCCCTGCTGGCAGCTTGCGGTGCAGCGGTTGAGATCTCCGTTGCATCGTCTGGTGGTAATGCCACTAGTGGTTTACAATATGGTATCATGGAAGAGGTAGGTTCCCCACAGCGAGTGGGTTCGATCGGAGATGGTGGCTGACTATTGTGTAGGAAATCAATTACTGTGGTGATGGGGGTCTCTATGCGGAGCTGATTCGCAATCGTGCGTTCCAGGGAGGCGAGAAATACCCTTCCACATTGGATGCTTGGATTCCAGTCGACGGATCGGCGCTGTCTCTAAAGAACCTCAGTCAACCCTTGTCATCTGCACTGCCCACATCAGTCAATGTCAAAGGAACGACAGGAAAGGCTGGCCTTACCAACTTGGGTTGGTGGGGTCTCGACGTAAGAGAGCAGACGTACACCGGCTCCTTCTATGTGAAGGGTGCCTACAACGGAACATTCACAGCTTCCCTGCAGTCCAATAAGACTGGCGAGGTATATGCCAGCGCTGTCATTGTGTCAAAGAGCGCTCGTGGCGAATGGACCCAGCATAACTTTACTTTGACCCCCACTAAGGCTGCCTCAAACACCGAGAACACGTTCTCTATTACCTTCGATGCTTCTGTGAGTGGATACCCCAATGACTGGTAGATTTGCCCTTACTGACTGTGTAGAAAACTGTTGACGGCTCCCTTGACTTCAACCTTATCAGCCTGTTCCCTCCTACATATAACGACCGTCCCAATGGACTTCGCAGGGATTTGATGCAAGCGATGGCCGACTTTGGACCTGTATGTCAATGTGCTTACATCTACTAGAATGACAATGCTAACAAACTAGAAATTCCTGCGATTCCCAGGTGGCAACAACCTCGAAGGCGATACCCTTGACGGCAGATGGAAATGGAACGAAACTATTGGACCTCTCAAGGACCGCCCAGGCCGTGCAACAACCTGGTCCTACCAAGAAACCCACGGGTTAGGTCTCGTCGAGTACATGGAATGGTGTGAAGACCTTGGAGTCGAGCCCAGTAAGTCGTTTATCACCAATTTATGACCCCTCTAACAAGTCCGTAGTTCTTGCTGTATGGGGTGGATTTGCACTGAACGGCGACGCAATCCCCGAATCTGAGCTCGGTCTATACGTTCAAGACGCCCTGGACGAGCTGGAATTCCTCACTGGCTCTGTAGACACCGAATACGGTGCCCTTCGCGCGTCCCTTGGCCATCCAGAACCATGGACAGTCAAGTATGTCGAAGTCGGTAACGAGGATAACCTAAACGAAGGGTTGGATTCATACAAATCCTACCGCTTCCAGGCCTTCTACGACGCAATCAAGGAGAAGTACCCAGACATTACAGTCCTGGCATCCACTGTTGAAATCGACTTCCCTGGCGATGCAGGCGGTGACTATCACCTGTACGATACGCCAGACAACTTCGTCGAGAAGTTCAACTTCTTCGACCAGTTCAGCCCCGACCATCCGATCCTCCTTGGTAAGTCTTGGTCTGGACTACCTTGCCAAGCCAATCATCCTTCCATATACGCTAACAATGAAATATGAACAGGCGAAATCGCAGCGATTCAGCTCAACGGACGCGAAATCGTCTGGGGCGGCTCTGCCCATTTCTCACAGTACCCATGGTGGATCGGTAGCGTCGCAGAAGGAGTCTTCCTCATCGGTGCCGAAAGAAACGCCGACAAGGTCCTGGGAACAACATACGTAAGGACCATCTCTATGCACCCAACCTCTAACCCTGTATCAATATCAACGAACTAACGTACATCCTAGGCCCCCTTCATGATGAACCTCGACAACTACCAATGGTCTCCTACCTTCCTCGCGTTCAACGCGAACCCCGATGAGACGGCACGTTCGACCAGCTGGCACCTTTACGACGTAAGTATATACATATACACCCATTGGCCTACCATGGTCCAGGACATAAACTGACAAAAAGAAAACAGCTCTTCTCTCACAACTCCTTCACACACACCCTCCCCACCACATCAGATTCCAGCTTCGGACCTCTCTACTACGTCGCTGGTGTCGACAACACAAGCAATTCTCATATCTTCAAGGCAGCCGTATACAACAGCACCGCCGACGTGCCCGTGTCTCTCACCTTTGACGGCGTCAAGGCCGGCACCAGTGCAAGCCTTACTGTGCTCACCGCTGCGGATCCACTGGGCATGAACGAAGTGGGAGTTGCCGATATTGTGGATAAGAAGACCTCCACTGTGACGGCTGGTGCCAACGGCGTGTTTGATTTCAGTCTGCCAAATCTGAGTCTGGCTGTTTTGAAGACGGAGTAGGCGTGTACAAGATGTACAGCCATTCGAACTGGATAGATTAGAATGGATGGATCAATGAGTAAAGTATGCTGAGATAACTTTGGAACAATTGTTTATATCTATATGAAGATCCTTCAATACCGGACTTGAATGTAATGTTTTTCTTCTTCTTCTTCTTTTTTCCCCCTTTTTTGCCTGTCCAATCGTGGGTAGGTGATAGTAGTCTAAGGGGTTATAATGATAGTATACCCGCCGTTCCATCAAGTTGCGTATATATCCGGCAGTTACAGAATCAGCAACTGTGCATGTAAAAGCAATATGCTCTGACAAAAACTAGCCATAAACAGTAGAAAATGGAGCACTGTTTTCCAGTGATGTATTGTCATATTTTGCAGCGCGAAAGAGACATTCCTAATTGTTTGCTACGGTCGCCTTTCCGAGGGGAGCGTTATGACAGCCGGAGTACGAGAAAAATAAGGTACATCTATCTACTATAGAGGGACACAAATATTTAAAACTAGATCTCAAGCATTGTTCAGGTTCAACATGTCAAATTTATTAAGTTCTGGTGTCTAATAATTATCATTTGTAGTGGTTAGTTAGCATACTTATCTGCTGAGTCAGTCAGTCTTCTGGAAACAAGCTCCTGAAAAAGGAGGGGAAGATTAAATATTGTATCATTCAGTTCCCGAAAAGTACCATCACACAAGAAGTGAACTTAAATATAGATACACCATGGGACTGATTTGGTGTTGCAGGTTAGTCTCGGGCTGCTTGTGAGGTGCAAGGTATGTGCTATAGTTCCCCGCCTCGAAGGATTCCAGAGCCCTTCCCATTATTGTCATGGGTCATGTGAGAGGTCAGTGGTCATATCCATGTGAACTTGACTGCAAACCAATCCAACCATGTCAGGCCCATTCGATCTAAAGCAGTAGGTAGTATGGTATCACCTCGAGCTAAGTAAAAGTACCACGAGGATCACCAACTTGCGCAGGGTATACGCTGCCTGTGAAATCTACGTCCTGCATTTTCTCTTGGAGATAGTCCAGAGTAGGCTAATTAGTAGGAAAGTGCCATATAAGTAGCTAGTTGCCACGGAGTGGCAGTAGAAGTCGTTGCTCAGAACTCCCCCCTCTCCCCGTTAGGGACCAAAATGGGCTTCCGTCGCTTTCGAGTATGTTCTCCAATTGAATGTATTGTTAAACTTTGAGTCTGGCTGATGTCACTGTTCATCATCACACATTATGTCGTATCGCCCGGTGGGCTTCATAGAGGTCCGGGTTATCTCCCACTGCAGTCTCGAAAAGAAGAGAATCCAAAAAGAAAGGAGAAGAAAAGGAAAAGTGAAAAACGGAAAGGTGAAAGAAGATAAAGTAGCTGTGAAAGAAGAAGAAGAGAAAAAGAAGTTTGAAGACACGAGAAATCGAAGAAAGGTCAAAGTAAGAAATGATGATGTGAGAAGATTATGTTGTCAAGCAATATAAGACAGCCCCCCGGGGAGAGGAAGAAGAGTAAAAATGGACAGGAAATTGTCAAAGAATATATCAACAAGAAGTGCGCGAAATCATCAGAAATCTAGTGAGAAGAATCGTAAAGTCACACATACGAGTCGATCTCAGGAACTAACGGCTGAGCATCGAGATAACATGAGGCATCAAGCGATGGTTCCAGCCCCATCACAGGAAAGGTAGACAATGTATCATACCCATTCGTCAATGTTGACTCCAGCCCTGGGACCGGAAAGCCTTCCGGGGAGATTGTGGGCAGGCCATTCATCATATCCTCTGCAGAAACAGGGGGTGGTGCCGCAACTAGATCATCACCTAGTGCGTCCTGGTCAATAAAATTTTGAGCGTTCTCGAGAACTACTTCCTCCTTCTGCACCATCCAGTGCTTAAGGACTTCCATCGGCGGGTGATTACCACCGCCCTTGCCACCGCGCTTCTCACTATCTTTCCCACGTCCGCCCCGGCCACGCTGGCAGGGGTTGAAATGGGTCCGACGCAAGTGAGCGGCAGCGTTGTAGTTAGCACCATATCGCTTTCCATTGCGGCAAGCTTTGCAGTTGGCCAAGAAAGTCTTTCCAGGAGAGATATCAACACAAACCCAGACCTTACGAACCACAGCGTGGACCCGCTCAATGTGACGTCGCAGCTCGTGCTCCCCATGAAAGCCATCGGGCTGGTCGTTGCACATAGTGCAATACGTCTTTTGGCGCGGGGGTCGCTGGATCGAGGCCTTAGGAATGGCTGCGACCTCTTTGGAAGTCCCATCAGAAGATGAGATACGTATCATCTTAGTCTGCTCGGTCGCCTTAGGAGGAGACATGCTCTGCGATTCCACTTTCGGGGCAATGGGTCTGGCGCCCTGAACGATTTGTTCCTGAGTCCTCCGAGCCGCCCTTGAGGGCTGAGAGAGAGACGAGTTGCTACTGTCCGAAGACATGGAATGTTTCATCTCCGTTGCCGGGGACGAAGAAAGAGTGGACACGGGCGGTGCAAAGGATGTAGCAGGGGGAGCAGAGCAAGAGAAGGGCGGGGCGGGAGATTCAGTCAAAGGGAACGAGACATGATCCATGTCGCGCTGCGCGGATGTGAAGGGGTTGGTAAATGGAACGTTCATAGGGGACGTGGAGGGAATGAAGTCTGAGGATGGAAAAGGAAACGAGCAGTTTGGATTGAGATGTGGCCCCGAAGAATCAAATCTCATCATTCCCATACCTCCACACAGGGAGTCAGTAGTTGGGGTTCTACTCATCTCCACTGCGGCCGACACCGGTTGGACCGGTTGGTCAACCAAAGATGGATTCCCTAGCCCAGTCAGGTCGGGAACCAGATCCGATTGTCCGTGATATTGCGGGACGAAGGATGGATTCGAGGGCTGAGCTCCAGTCGCCGTGGTATCCGTAGAAAGCGCCATCGAAAGTGCGGAGACTCCGCCTTGGGCCTGGTAGTCATCCAAGTATTGCTTTGCATATTCGGACGGGGAATATTCGTTGACGTGGTCAAGACGGCGATGGATGCGCTGGGGTCCATAGGAGTGTCGATGTCCCGTTGTGGGGGAGGCCAGCGAGGGTCGGTGGGAGACCGGAGTCTGTTGACTCTGCGAGCGGACCATGGCCGTGTGTCGGGAGGGACCCAAGCCGGAGTAGTTCTCCTTCCGAGAATTCGATCTAGATAGCTTCCGGATCGTCTGAGGAGCAGCTGGCGAGGACGCATGCGACAGATCGCGCGTCAAGTCAACGGTCACCGGAGGTTCCGGAGTCTGCCAAGTGTCAATCCAGGGACTGTTGGCGGGAGAGCAGAGATGAAAGTGAGAAAGAATGGAGTAGCGCAACAGGAACACAGGATGGGTTAAGAACGGAGAGGTGGAAAACAGGCGGGAGCAGAAGACCAAGATAGATCACATACGGTGACTCGTCGTTTCGTCGGAGGAAGACCAGAACCAGGTAGAGTCCGCGGAGTATCCTGTCGAGTCCGTTTCCCAGATTTCTCGAGAGATGAACCACCATTGTCAAGGATACCAGAGCCAGAAACCGGGCGGTAGCTGGGAGAAGATACAGCGGCCGCGGTGGGCATGAACTGATTTAACTGTTGACTCCAAAGTTCGTTGCGCTCTGCTTCCGAGAGGTGAGAATGCCGATCCAAGAAAGCGTCCCGATACCCAGAGATGGCCCTTTTGAAGAGTTCCTCATCGGCCATGTTGACAGCCATATTGGAAAGATATCCTCTTTTGAGTGTTGCCGTCTCTCACGTGAGATGAGGCAGGAAAAGAGCTGCTATCAGTACCAAATGACTCTGGGGGTTTAGGAGGGGTAGTTCTCTATGGAGTCGTCCGATACGTCAGTGTTTAATGAAACAGAGAAATCGATAACTCAGAACAAGTGGATAGAAAAGACTGACTGGTAAATCAAGACTGATCCCGTGATGTGTCGTGCGGAATCAGCGAATTTGATGGAGGAAAGAGAAGGGGGGGTAGTGTGATGTAGTATGCGATAAGGAGATAAGGAGAAGGAGAGATCAGGAAGTATAGGAAGTATAGGAAGTAAGAAGAGAAGGTTTCGGTGGTTGAGAAGATGGAGATGGAGAGAAGGAGGGAAGGATGTGATAGATATAGGGGCTGATAGTTGGCGCAAGTATCAAGATATATGTGACGTGACAGACGATCGATAGTTGGAGAAGATTGAGAGGAGGGAGGTGAGGGAGATATCAATTTAAGAATTGAGCCCAAAGCTCTCCACAGCCCGGCTTGATCAAATGGCCCGGACTACGGAGTACAATGGATGACTGAGATGGGGGAAAGGGGGTGTGGATTTGATGGTGTATGGAGAGGTAGGTCGTAGTCGTAGTAAAAAGTCCGTCAGTGAGCAGTAGTTCATGGCAAGTTTGAAACCAACCGGGGCGGGGATGAGACTCCATGAGATGAAGGGAAAGATTGGCCAGTGCCAGCCTGCACTAAGGCAGGAATGGCAGTGTGGACCGGGGGCATGAGAATGATCATGGATGGGCAGAAGGGTTGACAGAGAAGAGGGTCTGGACTCTAGAACCGTTCTGTCGACCGTCCGGGGTGGGCAACAGTGGCCAAATGGAATTATTTGATTTGGATTTTGGATTTTTTTTTTAAAAAAAAAAATTATGGATTATTTAATTATTCCATGATTTTCAGGTTCATTTTAATTTTTATTATAATTTTTATTTTTAATCATTTAATTATTCAATCTCTTCTATTCCTCTTTTTGGGTGGCCCAGTGTTTACCTAAAATTAACGTGGGATTCAATATGTACCCTAGTTATAATGATTTGATTCTTGTGAGATTTTTTTCTTTATTGTTTTTAGTTGATTATTTCCTTTTTACCTGGTGATTAGAGAGAGCACTAGTACAAATCTATCTATGGGAGAGTCCAAGCCTGGGGCAACAACGCAACAATAAAAAAGAAAACTTAGACGAGGGACCAAAAAGAAGTGGTAAATAAAATAAAAATAAATAATAAGCAGAAACAGTGAGCGAGCAGAGAGAACAT